GGGGCCTCGGGGGCGGGGCCTCGGGGGCGGGGCCTCGGGGGCGGGGCCTCGGGGGCGGGGGCTCACTGGGCGGCCAGCGGGGCGGTGACCGAGTGCTTCATGAGCACAGCCAGGGGCAGCAGCTCGCTCAGCTGCACCGCGGTCTCGTCTGCATCCGACTGAACCCGGGGATCCTCAGGCAGCGGGAAGGCTCGGGGAAGCCCGTGGTGCAGAAGGTGGGCAATGGGAGGCTCCGCTGCAGGGCGACACGCACCACTACAGCACCCCGCCGACAGGCAGGCCGAGCCCCCACGCGCCCGCCGCAGCCCCCCGCCCCACTCACACATAGCCTCGTAGCTGTCCGGGTATGGCTCCAAGCGGTACTGCCCCGCCAGACCTGCCAGGTAGGCCTGCTCCCGGTCCCAGCGCTGGGCCGCCGCCACTGCCGCCTCCCCAAGGCCGGGGCTGCTCGCCACACCTTCCTAAGACCAGCCAGGCTCAAGGGACCCGCCCTTCCCTCATGGATGAGGAAGGCAGGGCAGGTGGGGTCCCCCACATGCTTCCGATCCCGGAGGGACGGAGCCCTCGCTGCCCACACAAGGCCGGGCGGGGGCGGGGACACACTCCCCTGACCCCGCCCCCACCCCGCCATGTCTGCTCTGACCTGCGAGCTTGGAGGGTGGCTTGGAGAGAGGTCCTCAGTGTCCCCACTCCTCCCTAAGTGGCACAAATGAGGGAGGGGGCCTCAGGACCAAGGGCCTGCTGTAGGATGGTGCCTCCAAAATCCCCAGGGCAGACCTAACAGCTTTCCTCCCTCCCCACCACCCCCCTTAGGCCCACAGACACCCCCAGACAGGACAGGGCTGTTCTGTGTCCCACTGACCTGGCTCCTCTGGTGTGCCGTCTGCCAGAGACCCCAGTGCAGCCACAGCAGACAGGCAGTCCTGGAGGCCACCCTCCCCACGGCTGGAGCTGGCCTCCTGAGGCAGGCAGCTGCCTGAAGTGGCCTCCTGAGGTGGCCACGGCTCCTGATCCTGGCCAGGGCTCTGGGCTCCCAGGCCGAGGCCTGACTGGGACGCACGGTCAGCGGGACTCTGCCGGGGCCTGGGCGCGTCAGGTGGCGCTTCCCCTGGGGGTGCCCCCAGCATCACGTGGGACTGAGATACATGTCCATGGACATTCCACCGTGGCCGGGAGGGGGCCACATCCCACACGTTCTCCCCAACCCTGATGCTGGCATCAGACACGTGTCCGTGGACATTCCACCGTGGCCGGGAGGAGGGCACATCCCACACATTCTCCCCAACCCTGATGCTGGCATCAGACACGTGTCCGTGGACATTCCACCGTGGCCGGGAGGAGGGTACATCCCACACATTCTCCCCAACCCTGATGCTGGCATCAGACACATGTCTGTGGACATTCCCCCGTGGCTGAGAGGGGGCTATTCTGGAAGCATAACCCCCTGTGGGAACATCACCCTCTGACACGTGCCCAGGGAGCTGCCCCGTGGCCTGGCTGCTCCACTGCTGGGGGGAGTTGTCCTGGGGGTACTGTGGGGAGGGCAGAGTCACCTGCCTGTCTGGGACACATGTGCCCAGCTGCATATGAGTGTCCCTCCACAGCTGCTGCCCCTCGCTGCCCAAATCACCTCCTACAATCTGGAGGGACCCTGGGGAAGCCGAGGCAGCTACAACCGGCCTCAGAATGGTTCTGAAATCATACTCCTGTGGCCCAGCTGGCCCTGTGCCTGCTGCTGCAGGCAGAGCCAAGGGTGGCAGGTCTGAGCCGATGGTCCAAAGCGCCTCCTCCAGGACAGGGGCCCTGCTGGTGTGTGAAGAGTGCTCAGCCCACTCGTCTGTGGGCAGGAAATCCTGGATGTGGAGGCCTGCAGAGAATGGCCCAGGCCCCTCCGCCTGCCCTGGACCCATGCCGCAGGCACCTGGGGCTGGAGACCCAAGGGGCTGTGACGTAGGCGTGCACAGGCTACCCTGGGCAGCCGGGAGCTGCTCTGCATGCCCCCAGTCACAGCTGCTGCCTCCATCTGGGTGTTCAGGGCCTGGAAACAAGGCCTGAGACACAAGTACATATTGGTCCTCCAGTGATCTGGTCTGCCCCCCAAATTCAATTCTGCCATCAGCACCAAAACCCAAGTGGGGGGCTGTGGGGACACAGGCCAGCCTGAAACCTGTACCTCCAGGCAGCACCCACCTTGGGCTTCCGCTTACCCACCCTGGACCTGCCAGCAGCCCTCACCTGGGAGCCTGCACCCGAGGCATTGGCTAACGGCTCTGGGGACTCCCCATCAGGCACGTCCTTCAGCATGGCCTGAAGTTCAGTCAGCAGAACATGGGGCTGAGGAGCGGAGCTGGACCAGCCCCGCACCCTCACCCACCACACAGACGCCACAGCCCACTGCCCACAACACTCTACACTCGGCTCTGCCATCTGAGGGCCACACAGCCTCCTCCCAGCTGTGCCGTCTTCTGCAGGCAGCTGCTGTTACCAACCCCTCCCAGAAGGGCACACCCATCCATGTGCAATTTCAGAGGGTTCTGAGGCCCCCAAAGCCCAAGGGCAAGCTCCCACCTGAGGCTGCAGCCATACCTGTGTGTGTTTCTGATCATCTAAGAGAAAACGAAGCCGTGCACTTGACAGTCTGTGCCTCTGGATCTTCCATAATGCCTTTTGCTCTCGACGAGCGGCCTCTGCAGACAACTTGCTGTAATGGTCAACCAGTGCTTGCCTGAAACAACCACACCCAGAGAGGACTGGTCACCTCAGTCACCCCAATGTCCAGCTGGTACCCCATGGGCTGGGATGGCTCTCCATGATAGAGGCCGCTGGTGGGCAGTCTCAGCCCAGCACCTTCCGCAGGCCGGCAGCGGGTGCCTCTGGGCCACCACCAGCACCTGCAGGCACCTTCCTGGGCAGGTCTTTCTGCCCACCAAGTTGGGAGCCTCTGGTGGGCAGGCACCCAGCCAGGGCCTAGCAGAGGCTGATGAATGAATGCCAGAAGAAGCCCCTGCAGCCTGAATGCAAAGGGGCCGGGCACCCAGGCCCTCCAGGGGGCAAGGCCTCCCCTCCTGAGCTGCACAAAAGGCATCTGCTGGGCGGACCCCCGAGAACTGCAGAGCGACGCTGAAGCACGCATGGAGCACAGCGCTGAGGTGCCACGCGCTTGGGTCGCGACTGGTGTAGCGCGCGGCCCCCAAGACTCTGATCCTCTCACCCCAGGGAACTGGGTTCAAACCTGGACCGGCCATTTCCAATTTGGCTGCTGCAGGCCAGGGACACAGCCTCTACACCTTGCGTTCTCCATGTGTAAACAGGAGAACATTTGCCCACACATGCACACGTGAGCCCTCCACACACACGTGCACATGCACCACGCAAATGTGTGTACACGTGCACACATCACTCGCTGGCTCCGGGTCACAGGTGTATAACCAGTACCTGAGATGGGGACAAGCAAGATCCCATGATGAGCAAGAAAGGACTGCCCTCCACTAGGGTGCCCCATGAGACACTGGGCCTGCTCCCAACAGAGGGGAAACACAGGGACGGGCGGGACGCACTGACACCCTAAGATCAGACATCCGGACGCATGCTGGACAGATGCTCCTCTAACTGTTGAGCTTAACAGGCTTAAAAATAAATAAATGAACAAGAGCTGCTTGATTTAAAAGAAACAGAGACAGAGAGAACGGGACAAGCAAGCAGCATGTGAACTGGCTGGCTTCCAAATATACACAAACCAACCACAAGAAGATGCTCAGGACAGGTAAGGACATCTGACCGCAGCAAAGTGTTCAGAGGCCCGAGCCTGCTGGGCGTTTGGAGTCAGACCCCTACTCTTCCTACCGAATGTACGCTCCTAAGATTTCAAAATAAAAGTGGAATGACCATCACTGAGATCAACGCAGTTTGGCGACACCCTCGCCCCTGGAGGGTCAGCCCAGAGGGACTGGCCACCCAGAGCACCCACCTGGCCTTCCTCTCCAGCTGCTCCTGCAGGGCCTGCAGCCTCTTCTCGCGGTCCCGGAGCTCGCGGGCGTAGCTGAAGTCGTCCTCTAGCTCCTGCCTGGCTGCCTGGCGCCGCTGAGAAAACACACGCAGTGTGGCCCTGCTGGTGGGCCCTGGCTCCTGGGGCAGCCCCCAGCCCCAGGGCCACCCCACCTACCTCCTGGTCCTTCACAGACTGCTCTTTCAGCCTCTGAAACTGCTCTCGCTTCTGGGCGTCCACAGCCATCCGTTCCGACATCTGCCGATCTGCATTGAGATAAAGAAAGAAAGGGTTGCCATTGTGAGGAGCCCTTGCCAGCAGCTCCCAGAATCAGAGGGGGGGACCTTGCCACACGCACCACTCAGTGCTCCCAGGACCCTCGATGCCGCCTCCTGGGCATGGACGATTAATTCTTGTTTTGCAATTTCCATTCGTAATTCCTGAAAAAGATCCTCTGTAAATGCATCCCAATTCTCTGTCCCCTCCCCAGGAGAGCCTGGGAATGGGAGCTGCTCAGACCCTAGGTGGGCTCCTCCAGGGACGGCGCCCAGGCTACGAGGGTGCAGTGGCCCATCCTGCACAGGGACAGGGTGGCTGCCAGGGCTTCCCCGGCTCTCCCTCTCCACCCTGACTCATGTGCTGGGTCAGCCCTGCCCCCACCTCCCTGCTGCCCGCCAGTGCCAGGCCACAAAGGGCCCCCATCAGCCAGGTGCAGAGGACACTCCGAGCTCAGGCCCCACCCCTTCTGAGCGGGAGACTCAGAGAAGCTGCCAAGTGAGGGAAACCTGGGTCCTGCTGCCATGGAGTCCCTGCTTGGCCAGGCTCAGGCCTGCTCACTGCCTAGCCGGCCCCAGGAGAGAGGACAGAGCCCCTGACCCAGACACACACCCCAGAGCCAGCAACCCTCCCCATCAGCCCCAGACCCCTGGCAGAGAAGGGAGGTGCCAGGAAAGCTCCCACACCCCAGTGCCCAGGTACCTTCTCCTCTTTGCTGATACAGCTGTGGCGTGCCACCCGCTCCATCCGCCCCACATAGATGGCACAGTCCTTCTCGATCCCCTTCAACTCCTCAAGGGAAAAAATGACCGAGATCCGAGGCACGGGGACATCAGACCAGCAGAGGTAATGCTGCCAGGGAGGGAGGGCCTGCAGTGAGCCCTGGGGTACACAGACCACAACCAGCCTGCTTCCGTGTTTGGGGACCCATGTGGACAGCTTGCTTTCTCAGAAAGGGTTCCTTCCACAACCAAGGCGCAGGGATTCTCCTCAGCTCCAGAGACATCACAGACAGGACAAGGCTGCCCTGCAGTAGAGGCCCAGGCTGACCCCCATGAATGACCCTTCAGAAGAAGCTACAAAGACCCATAGACTGTAGGCCTCCTTCATGGGAGGAGTCAACCACAGCATGTGCCACTTGCAGGCGACCAGACAGGACACAACCGGCCACCCCTGGGAGCTCCTCCCCACCCCCCACCCCTGCCAAAGACAATCTCTCAGCAGCTCCTGGGAGCCCCCCCCAAGGAGTTCGCCAGCATCAGCCCTCTCCCCAAGCCCACATCTCCCACCCAGTCGCTGCACCTGTCCTGGCTACTCCAGTCTCCACCCAGTCGCTGCACCTGTCCTGGCTACTCCAGTCTGTTCTCAGCGCTGCACCAAGGGACCTTATCAGTCACAGGCAGAGCCTGGCCCCTCCTCGGTCTGGATCCTCCCTGGCCCTGCATCTGTCTGGCCCGCTGGCCTCCTGGTCCGGACAGCATGGAACTGCCACACCCACACCCCAGCCCGCCTGGCCCTGCTCAGACATCAGACAGCTCCCCTCCACACCCCACTGCTACCTCCCTGGCCGTCCTCCACAGGGCCCTGGTGACCTCTTCACAGGTGCCCCCTGGCCAGGGGGACACCACCCCCTAAAGCAGCTGGGTCTATTGCCCTGCAGGCGCAGCCATCCCTGTCCCACTGGGTGGTTCCCAAGGTGGAGGGAGGGAAGGCGACTACTGGTCTCTGAGATGCCTCCTGCCCCTCCTGTCTTTGAGTCCCAGACACTCAACGGAGCTACTCACAGGACTCTCAGGGGGACAGAGGGATGACAGATCGGGACCCAGCTCCTGAGGGCCGGCATGACCACAGGAGCCAGAGGGGCAGGACGAGGGGAGAGCCAGCACGGGCCCATGGACCCTCCTCACCCGGGGGCAGCAGAGCTTCAGCAAGTTGATGGTTTTCCCGCAGACGTACACGTCGTGGGCAATGTGCTTCAGAAACACAGGGACACAGTCCTCCACTTCTTTGGAAATGAGCACATAGCCGTGGGTCCAGTACAACTTATCTGAATGTGGGACAGGAGACAAGCTGGCCTGCGTGGAGCAGTGGCCCCGACCCACCTGACGGCACCGGCCCAGCCAGCAGCCACCTACCTCTGCAGCCCAGGTACTCATGGTTCACCTGGATCATGAACTCGCCATAAACGTCTCTGAAGACTCCGCTGTACACCCAGTCATGGATGAACCTGCCAGGGCGGAGGGCCGGCAGGGCAGTGAGGGGCCAGGCGGGCAGAGTGGGCAGAGCAGCACCGGGTAGAGTGGTCTGCCAGTGCCCGCAGTCTGAGCCTCCCTGTCCCGACCCTCACCTACAAGCCCAGCGCTCAGCAGGCATCTGACCAGAGGCGCCCTCACACAGCAGCGCCACCGACCGCGGACCCCAGCCCACAGGTCCAGTGCGGCCGTTCCGCCCACAGCGCCCCAGCCCGAGTCAGGCCGCCCCTTCCGGCCCCACCGTGTGTAGGGCTCGCAGCTGGTCTTCAGCAGGGCCAGCAGCACCGGGTAGTGCTCGTTGCTGCAGTTATCCAGGGCCTCCTGGTAGAGGTAGGAGAGCAGCTTCACCCCCTGGAGACAGCGAGGGGGCAGGGGACGCAGGGGGCTCAGTGCGCATGCTGCCCGGTCCTACACCCACCGCAGCCCCACCAAGGGGACCCCGCTCCGCACGCCCCCTCCCTGGTGCGGCAGGAAGGCAGGACTCACAGTGGGGAATGCAGGCCTGGACTCCCCGCCGGAGCCCAGGGGGGCAGTGCCGACACCACAGAGCTCAGCCAGGTACCTAGACACAGAGGCCGGGTGGGGCCAGGTGAGCGGGGGCTCAGAGCCCCTGGCTGAGCGGGCCCAGGCCCTTCACTGCCTATCGTGCTCCCACATCAGAACCATCTGCCCCGGAGGACCAATATCTGAGCTCCCTGCCAGACGGTCTCCAGGTGCCCCATGCAACTTCACCTCCTTCCCTGGCTCAACAAAGATTCCAAATCATTCCATGCCCCAGCCCCCACAGCTCTACCCTGAGACCCTTCCTGCACCCCCCACCCCAGCGCCCAGGTTCCCCTCCTCTGGCCCGCATGACCACCAGGCCTGCTGCACACCCTCTCCACCCCACCGCAGTCCATGCTCCACAAGGCAGCACAGCCCCCCGCCAGGGCCCCCTCCCTCACTATGCCCGTCTCCAGCCTCTGGGCCCCTACACTGCCTCCTGGAAGGGCACCTTTACCCTGGACCCATACTGAGGGCCTGCCCCGTGCATCTTCACCAGGTGCCCCGTGCTAAGTGGACTCAGCCTGGCGTCCACTATCCAGCTCATGAGTGCCAGGGCCGGGTCTATGGGGACCTGTGTGCCCTTCAGGCAGGAGCCCCTGACCCTAGACACAGCCCCCATGGCAGGCTGCCAACAGACACGCACACAGGACCTGGGGAACTCAGCTGGGACAGAGGCCATCCAGACACCTACCAGGAGGGCTTTCCTCACAGGCCCTCCACCACCCATCAAGCCCCATGCCTGTCCCCACACTCAGCCACCATGCTGGGCTCACCTGAGCTGGCGGCCCAGTTTCTTGAAGAGAAAGCCAATGGTGAGGAGGCTCAGCGTGGGTGCAGTGGAGAGGACGCAAGCCCTGTAGTACTGCAGGTACCTCCTGAGGCCGCTGGTGAAGGCCTGCAGGCGAGGGGGCTGGGAGGGTGGGCAGGCACACACACACGGCCTCGGCTCCCAACTTGAAAGGGTGCACCAGTACTGGGGAAGGGGCTTGGCCCCCACTCCCAACCCCAGGGCTCCATTTTCCAAGGCATGGGCCTTTGGGGGTCATGCCCAGACACCCCAGACCAGCCAGAAGCCCAGGGATCACTGTGAGCCCGTCCCTGAAGCCAGGACCGGCCATACTGGGGAACTGGCACCTGCGGGCCCCGGGAGGATTCCGGAAAGGTGGCAGGCCCTGAGCACAGCTGCTAACTCTGAGAAGGTCTCTAGCTGTTCCGACCACTGGGGTCTCAGAACACGCACGTCCTGGGCGGCCCCACAGGAGCGCGACCCTGGCTCGGCTCACATCTGTAGGGGTCTGCGTGGAATGCTCCGGGACGAACATCAGTCTGCCACCCACAAGGGAACAGCTGTCCTGCCCTTGCGTCCCAGACAACCAACCTGGTGGGCCTGTCTATGTCAGCCTCCTGCCCACTGCACCCCACTCTGACCTGTTTGCCACCAGTCAGCCTCCACTGCCAAACACCTGAACCTCACCACGTGGCCCCTGTGACCATGCTGCAGCGCCAGGACATGAAGGAGGCACAAGGCCCCTGCCGACTGGGCCCCAGAACGCCCACTTTGTCTGGATGCCCACCCATTCTGCACAAGCCAGCCTGCTGTTCTGGGGGACTGTCTCCAACATATGGGCCAACTGTAGGGTTTTCAAGGAAGACCTGGTGCAACCCCAGCTCCCAGGACACAGGCAGTTCTTAGCAAGGCCAGTGCCAGCCACAAGGCCGAGGGCAGTACCTGGAACACGAGTCCCTTGCCGCACGAGGGGTCCAGCACAGGCTGCAGAGAGAAGTGGCTCAGGCGTGCATAGTGGGTCCCACACTCGGCCACCTCTGAGAGGAGGCTGCTGATGCTCTCGGGGGACGCTCCTGATACATGGACACCCTGCTTCACCACAAAGGCCTGAGCTGGCTGGACGGGCAGAGGGAAGGTCCCTGAGGCGAGGCGTCCAGAGCCCAATACGGTGCTGTGTCCCCTCCCATCACTAACCCACCCAGCCATGGCACTGCTCAGAGGCCCACAGCCGTACACCCCACGCCAAGACACCCAGACAGGAAGTTCCAAAACCAGAAAGCAAGAGGCCACAAAGCGAATCCCAGCTTTCCCACCCTGAGTAGTAAATACATACAAACAGAAACGACAAGGTGTAATTTTCTCACAGACCACGGTGAGGAAGAACACATTCGAAGGCCAAGCCAACAGGAAAGGGTGCTGGCAGAGAGAACACCTTCCACGCTACACAAGCGGCACGCAGGCAACAACCTCACTGGGGCAGCAGGTTTAGAAAAGCTCTTGTCACTAGATGTGGCCATGCAACTGCTAGCGGTGTGCCCCGAGGAGGGAGCAGCGGGTGCATGGGACGCCTCAGGGGGGGCGCCACCTGCGGAAGGGCCGCTACACCAAGACAGGGATGCAGTGGAAGCTGCGCCAGGGGGGCCGCAGCTCAGCGCCTGCGCCCCGCGAAGGGAGGGCTCAGATTGATAGCCGCACTGTCCCCCTGAAAGGGGGAAGAGCAAACCAAACCGAAAGCCGGCCGAGGAAAACCGGCAAACACAGGAGCCTGGACAGGGGACAGAAGACAGAGATGGAAGGGTCTTGAAATCAAAAGTTAGTTCTTTGAAAAGATCAACAAAACCAACAAGCCCTTAGCTGGATTAACTAAGAAAAAGGAGAGACTCAAATTACTAAAATCGGTGAAATAAGAAGAATTACAAGAAAACAGCACAAATGACTGTAAGCCAACAATGTGGCCTACAAGACGAGGAATCCCTGAAACAGAAGCAAAACTCATTCACGAGACAGAAAATCCCAACCCCCGTAACAGGGACCCTGAACCTGTGACCAGAGCCCCTGTGCGGCCGAGCGCCTCCCGGGGGGGCCCCCCTGACTGCGGAGGCTTCCGCTCCAGGGCGCAGCCCCTCTGCGTGAGGCTCCAGCTCGGGAACAGAGCCAGGCAGCCCCTCCCGTGAAGCTCCTGCTAGGAAGCCATTGCAGTAGGTGACTGACTGCTGAGTGACCCCACCTCTCCCTTCCTGCATCTCGATTTTCCACTTCAGATTCACCAGGAAAGAGTGAACCCATGAAACCCTAGCCCCCCCACCCTCAACCCCAAAAAAGGGAGAGTCCCAGGTCCATGCTCTGCTGTGCACCCTCCAAGACTCATGAATGATAAACCTTGTCTTTCAAACTCCCTGGTAGCTTCTTGCTGAGAAGTGTCCCAGGTGCGTCCTACAATCACAGCACCCCCCAGGGCTGGCCCAGCCACCACACTGGCCTAGTGATGGTGGAGGGGATGCCGGCCAGCCGCCCATGAGGAAGTAAAGGCTGAGTGAGTGCCTCAGGCGCCCTACCAACAGCACCACTGCCACACACCCAGCAGGCTAAGGTGGTAAGTGTTATTTATGTGCACTTTACTGCAGTTCAAAAAAATTAAAACAACAAAAGCCCTCAATAAAGAAAATTCCAGGATCAGACGGTTTCACTGGTGAATTTTACCAAACAATTTAAGAACTAACACCAATTCTTCTCAAAGTCTTCCACAAATTGAAGAAGAGGGGACACTAATTCTGAGGCCAGTACTGCCCCGCTTCCACAGCCAGAGGAACACATCACAAGGAAAGCGAACTACAGGCTAGTACCCCTTGCGAACACCGATGCGGACCCCTGACCGACACCAACAGACCAGACGCAGCCGCAGAGCAAAGGATCGTGCGCCACAGCCGGGCGGCTCTTGTCTCAGGAGTGCAAAGGGTTTCACACAGGAAGACCCGTCGGCGTGACACACCCACACTGGCAGAGCAGAACAAACGGAAAACACACTATCACCTGGGAGGAAAAGGCACCTGACAAAACTCAACGCCCCTTCATGATGAGACGCTCAATGATCAGGAAATGCAGGGCACCCCCTCCACACGCTCAGGGCATCTGTGACCAGACCACAGGGAGCATCGCACCCAACAGTGAGAGACTGAGAGCTTTCCCCTGGGGCCACAGACAAGGCAGAGGCGCCCACGCTAACCACTTCTGTTCAAAACAGCACCGGAGGTCCTGGCCAGGGCGATTCAGCCGGAAGACACAAAAGGCATCCGAGTCGGAAAGGAAGAAAATTATCTGTCTGCCGATGACATGATCTTATATGCAGAAAACTACAGAATCCACACACACACACACACACAAACTGTCAAAACCAATAGATTCAGCAAAGCTGCAAGGTGCAAAATCAATGCACAAAAATCACTTGGATTACTCTACACTAGCAATGAAAGATCTGAAAAGGAAATTAAAACAATTCCATTTACTATAGCAATACAAGAATGAAATACTTAGGAATAATTTAACCAAGGAGGCAAAAGACTTGTTACGACAGTGAAAACCAGAAAACGTTGCCAAAAGAAACTAAAGACCTGAATAAATGGAAAGGCTTCTGTGTTCATGGGCAGGAACACGAATGTTAGGATGACAGCGCCAGCCAAAGTCCAATGGCGGGCTTTTTCAGAAATAGAAAAAAATCTATACTAAAATTAATACGGAATTGTAAGACAGTAACAAATAAAAAAATATAATAACAAACATAACAAAATAAAGAAAACAAAAAAAAAGAAAAAAGGAAAAGTTGGAAAACTCACCCTTCCCAAGTTCAAAACTTACTACAAAGCTACAGTAAACAAAACAGTATGATCCTGACATAAAGAGACACACAGAGCAATGGAATAGAACAGAAATCCCAGAAATAAAATACTCACACGTTTCATTCATTCCCAACAAGGGTATCAAAACCATTCAATAGGGAATGAAAAGTCTTTTCAACAAATGATGCCGGGAAAACTGGACACACATACGCAAAAGTTTTAAGTTGGATCCCCCTTATTTGCCACAAATTAACTCAAAAAAGATAAATGCTCAAACTTAAGGGCTAAAACTATGAAACTATAGAAGAAAACACAGAAGCAAACCTTCACAACCTTGGATTTGGCAGTTTCTTAAGTATAACACCAGAGGCATAGGCAACTAAGAAAATATAAAATGGGCTTCACCAAAATCAAAAACTTCTGTGCTTCAAAGGAAACTACCAAGAGTGAAAAATACAACCCACATAATGGGAGATGTCTGCAAATCATGTGTCAGACAAGAGATCAACACCCAGACTGTATAAAGAACCTACAGTTCAACAACCCAACTCAAAAACGGACAAAAGACACAAACAGACACTTCTTCAAAGATATACAAATGGCCAATAAGCATGAAAATACCACTAATCATTATGGAAATGCAAATTGAAACCACCGTGAGACACCATTTTACACCCACTAGAATGATTGTTACCCACAAGAAAAACCTGAAAGTCGTAAGTGCGGGTGGATGTGGAGACACTGGAGCCCTGGTGCCCTGCAGGGGGAATGTAAACCGGTGCTGCTGCGGCAAACCGTGTGCAGGCTCCTCAGTCAGTCAAGCACAGAATTATGCCGGCACCCAGCAATCCCACTGCTAAGTACACACCGGAAGCAGGGACTCAGGCTCTTGCGCAGCAGCATTATTCACAAAGGCCAAAAGCTGAAATCAACCCATGTGCACACCAAAAGATGAACGGATACACATAACAAATGCACACATGAAATACTATTCAGCCTAAAAGGGGGGCCGTCTGACACCTGCTGCGGCATGGATGGGCCCAAGGACACTGCTCAGTGGAGTGCGCCAGTCTCAGAAGGACAGACATGGCGGGACCACTCGTGTGAGGCGCGGAGAGGCTCCCTCCACGGAGGCCGAGGGAGGAGTTTTGGGGGTCCGTTCAATGGGGACAGAGCTTTCATTTGGGAAGGTGAATTTTGGAAATAAAAAGTGGTGGTTATACAACACTGAACGTAACTGATGCCACTGAATAGTATACTTATAAGTGTTTAAAATTATAAATCTTAAGTTCCATATATTTTGCCACAATATAAAAGGAGGGAGTGCTCATTCCACACAATAAGGGCTTTCACACGACGACACCACGAGGCCAGGAAAGCGGTGTTCCAGAAGTCTCCCGGCGGGGGGGGCCTCAGCACCAGCGCCACCCACACACAGCATGGCTCTGGGCCGACTCCAGATGTGCCCCTGGCACACACTCAAGTCCCAGAACAGCCACTACAGCAGAATCTGAATTTACAGAGTTTGGACTCTTGCATGAAAGAAGGCAGCTGCAGAATGACATGTCCAGCAGCTTCATTTGGGTAAATATTATTCATTTACTTTATAAGCTCCCAGCAAGAGGCAAAAGGCTAAATAAACTGACTACTGCCCAGAATGAGTGAAGCCCTATCCACTGGCCAGGAGATATGTCCAAAAAGAGAGAGAAAAGCCAGCACCAGAGGCCCAGCATCCTGTGGCCCATCCCTGCGAGGCAGGTCAGCACTCTCTCCGAGTGCAGGGAAGGCCTGGAAGGACCCCTCAGCATTTTCTGGGACAGGCATGGAAATATGAGTACATCTCCATTGTTTTACCGACAGCAATTAACATCCTACTTGAGTTCAGTTTTGCAAAGGATGCCAACAAATTAATACTTTGTAGAACGGAAATGAGAAGACCACTCCAGGAATCACCACACTCCGCCGTGACACTCAGGGGCTTGCATCTGGGGCCACACGCTGACTGCGGGGGGCCTCAGTCTAGCCTGTAAAGGGCTTAGAGTGTAAGCCACCAACACAGTGCTAGGGCCATTACCACATGAGGAACTTCCTTACCTGGCAGAGGGAAAACGTGGCAGACACGACACCAATCAGGACATTGAGAGCGTCCTTCACCAGCTCGTGCTCCTTCACCAGGACAGGCTGTGGGGCCTGCAGGAGTCCCCCGCCCAGCACCTGCAGCTCCCCTTGGCGGAGCCCCCAGAATTTGTCGAAGGCGTCCCTTCCTGCCTCGGTGAGGTAGGGCTCGTCTCTGTGGCCAGGGGGGCTGTGTGGGAGACGGGGGTGGGTGGTCAGCAGGCAGAGCAACAGGCACCTTAGCTACATGACGAAGGCAAGAGAAAGGGTCAGAAGTACAGACCGGGCACAAATCCCAACCGACCACCAGCCCTTCAGTCCTCATCCAGCAGGCTCAGTGCTGGCTGCCACTGAGCCCATCAGGATGACCGCAGAAACACAGCGGTGCCCTCTCACCCTGTGGCCACATGGAGTCGGGAGGCCAGTGGGAACGCATTCCCGGAATGCACCCCCCAGCTGGAGGGAGGAAGTCCCCTCCTCCCTCCAACAGCCCCCAGAGATGGCCAGCGGGCCCCCTCGCTCGTCCTCCTCCCGGGCTTCCCCACACAGCAGCCCTGCCAACACCCTTTCCCCAAAAGTGATGCTCTTCCCCCAACTTTCCCTTGGCTTTGCTACAACTTGCAAGTCCTGAATTGCGATTCCTCTGCCAGTCGCAAATGAACCTAAGAGAGTATTGTTTATCTTTCAAGACAAAAGTCATTTTTCCACCAGGTAATGGCTCTAAGCTATAGGAAGTTCTAACATGGAGGTGGGGTCTGACTACCAGCACATTTCCAACTTCACATCAAGCATGAGGTACAAGGTAGAGAACAATACATCTTAGAACTTGCCAAATCAAAAGTGCTTTTTAGCTGCACCATGACTGACCCTTTGTCATTCAGCAGGTGTCTGAGTGCGGGGGGAGCAGTCCTGGGAACAAGTCCATCCCTCAAGGGGGCGGGTGGCACAGACGGAAGCCACGAGGAGAGGACACTGAGCCCAGGACCGCCTCAGAGACACAGGAGACGCAGGCCACATCCCGGAGCTACGGCAGCAGCAGAAGCCAGCCAGTGGGAGGCCCAGAGACAAGAAGAGAGAGGGGAGCTCAGCAGTTGGGGGTGGGGGAGCAGAGAGGTAACGAGGTCACAGGAGCGCTGACCATCACTGTAGACAAGGGACAGCTGTGAAGCTCAGCAGGCGGAGCAGTGATGTGCTCTGATTTCTGTCCCAGAAAGGTGACACTGGTTGTGTGGAGGATGGGCTAGAGGGGACAGGAGGAAGTCAGTGGGCAGGGCTTGGCCAGACAAGGGACACCTGCCCAAACTCCCTCAGGGCAAGAAGAGTGTGAGGGAAAGAAAACCCTCTGAAGCTTCAGCATCCTGAGTGCCCCTCCAGACAGTCTCTCAGGACAGGTGTGCACACATGGGTGCTGCCACCCCAGGTGCTCTCACCCCAACTCGTCTAGGGCCAGACCCAGCACCACTGGGGCCAGCTGTGCACCCCTTGGTGACTCAGAGGTGAGGAGAAAAACCCATGAAGGAAAACACCCCATTCACTCATCCCCACGGGGAACTCAGCCCTTAACATAAGAGAACTGCTCCCCCCAAACGGGTGTTGGCCGCAGAGAAAGCGGAGCAACCCCAGCTGCGGGGAGGGCGGCCTTCGGACCAACACTGCCTCTCAGGGTGTTACAGAGGGGAGGGGGGTCTTCCAGGGGTCTCAAGGCAAAGAGAGCCTGACAGTGCAGAATTCCATACATGGAGCTCTGCTTCTGGGGGGGTGGCAGCTTCCTAACTGCCCACAGGCAGAGCTCACTGCAGGAAAGCAGGGGACTGGAATTCAAATTGAAACAAGTCCAACAGATCCGCCAAATGAACTCAAGAGAGGCCTCAGGGCTCAGGGCTCAGAAGGGTTTCACACAGGAAGACCCGTCGGCGTGACACACCCACACTGGCAGAGCAGAACAAACGGAAAACACACTATCACCTGGGAGGAAAAGGCACCTGACAAAACTCAACGCCCCTTCATGATGAGACGCTCAATGATCAGGAAATGCAGGGCACCCCCTCCACACGCTCAGGGCATCTGTGACCAGACCACAGGGAGCATCGCACCCAACAGTGAGAGACTGAGAGCTTTCCCCTGGGGCCACAGACAAGGCAGAGGCGCCCACGCTAACCACTTCTGTTCAAAACAGCACCGGAGGTCCTGGCCAGGGCGATTCAGCCGGAAGACACAAAAGGCATCCGAGTCGGAAAGGAAGAAAATTATCTGTCTGCCGATGACATGATCTTATATGCAGAAAACTACAGAATCCACACACACACACACACACAAACTGTCAAAACCAATAGATTCAGCAAAGCTGCAAGGTGCAAAATCAATGCACAAAAATCACTTGGATTACTCTACACTAGCAATGAAAGATCTGAAAAGGAAATTAAAACAATTCCATTTACTATAGCAATACAAGAATGAAATACTTAGGAATAATTTAACCAAGGAGGCAAAAGACTTGTTACGACAGTGAAAACCAGAAAACGTTGCCAAAAGAAACTAAAGACCTGAATAAATGGAAAGGCTTCTGTGTTCATGGGCAGGAACACGAATGTTAGGATGACAGCGCCAGCCAAAGTCCAATGGCGGGCTTTTTCAGAAATAGAAAAAAATCTATACTAAAATTAATACGGAATTGTAAGACAGTAACAAATAAAAAAATATAATAACAAACATAACAAAATAAAGAAAACAAAAAAAAAGAAAAAAGGAAAAGTTGGAAAACTCACCCTTCCCAAGTTCAAAACTTACTACAAAGCTACAGTAAACAAAACAGTATGATCCTGACATAAAGAGACACACAGAGCAATGGAATAGAACAGAAATCCCAGAAATAAAATACTCACACGTTTCATTCATTCCCAACAAGGGTATCAAAACCATTCAATAGGGAATGAAAAGTCTTTTCAACAAATGATGCCGGGAAAACTGGACACACATACGCAAAAGTTTTAAGTTGGATCCCCCTTATTTGCCACAAATTAACTCAAAAAAGATAAATGCTCAAACTTAAGGGCTAAAACTATGAAACTATAGAAGAAAACACAGAAGCAAACCTTCACAACCTTGGATTTGGCAGTTTCTTAAGTATAACACCAGAGGCATAGGCAACTAAGAAAATATAAAATGGGCTTCACCAAAATCAAAAACTTCTGTGCTTCAAAGGAAACTACCAAGAGTGAAAAATACAACCCACATAATGGGAGATGTCTGCAAATCATGTGTCAGACAAGAGATCAACACCCAGACTGTATAAAGAACCTACAGTTCAACAACCCAACTCAAAAACGGACAAAAGACACAAACAGACACTTCTTCAAAGATATACAAATGGCCAATAAGCATGAAAATACCACTAATCATTATGGAAATGCAAATTGAAACCACCGTGAGACACCATTTTACACCCACTAGAATGATTGTTACCCACAAGAAAAACCTGAAAGTCGTAAGTGCGGGTGGATGTGGAGACACTGGAGCCCTGGTGCCCTGCAGGGGGAATGTAAACCGGTGCTGCTGCGGCAAACCGTGTGCAGGCTCCTCAGTCAGTCAAGCACAGAATTATGCCGGCACCCAGCAATCCCACTGCTAAGTACACACCGGAAGCAGGGACTCAGGCTCTTGCGCAGCAGCATTATTCACAAAGGCCAAAAGCTGAAATCAACCCATGTGCACACCAAAAGATGAACGGATACACATAACAAATGCACACATGAAATACTATTCAGCCTAAAAGGGGGGCCGTCTGACACCTGCTGCGGCATGGATGGGCCCAAGGACACTGCTCAGTGGAGTGCGCCAGTCTCAGAAGGACAGACATGGCGGGACCACTCGTGTGAGGCGCGGAGAGGCTCCCTCCACGGAGGCCGAGGGAGGAGTTTTGGGGGTCCGTTCAATGGGGACAGAGCTTTCATTTGGGAAGGTGAATTTTGGAAATAAAAAGTGGTGGTTATACAACACTGAACGTAACTGATGCCACTGAATAGTATACTTATAAGTGTTTAAAATTATAAATCTTAAGTTCCATATATTTTGCCACAATATAAAAGGAGGGAGTGCTCATTCCACACAATAAGGGCTTTCACACGACGACACCACGAGGCCAGGAAAGCGGTGTTCCAGAAGTCTCCCGGCGGGGGGGGCCTCAGCACCAGCGCCACCCACACACAGCATGGCTCTGGGCCGACTCCAGATGTGCCCCTGGCACACACTCAAGTCCCAGAACAGCCACTACAGCAGAATCTGAATTTACAGAGTTTGGACTCTTGCATGAAAGAAGGCAGCTGCAGAATGACATGTCCAGCAGCTTCATTTGGGTAAATATTATTCATTTACTTTATAAGCTCCCAGCAAGAGGCAAAAGGCTAAATAAACTGACTACTGCCCAGAATGAGTGAAGCCCTATCCACTGGCCAGGAGATATGTCCAAAAAGAGAGAGAAAAGCCAGCACCAGAGGCCCAGCATCCTGTGGCCCATCCCTGCGAGGCAGGTCAGCACTCTCTCCGAGTGCAGGGAAGGCCTGGAAGGACCCCTCAGCATTTTCTGGGACAGGCATGGAAATATGAGTACATCTCCATTGTTTTACCGACAGCAATTAACATCCTACTTGAGTTCAGTTTTGCAAAGGATGCCAACAAATTAATACTTTGTAGAACGGAAATGAGAAGACCACTCCAGGAATCACCACACTCCGCCGTGACACTCAGGGGCTTGCATCTGGGGCCACACGCTGACTGCGGGGGGCCTCAGTCTAGCCTGTAAAGGGCTTAGAGTGTAAGCCACCAACACAGTGCTAGGGCCATTACCACATGAGGAACTTCCTTACCTGGCAGAGGGAAAACGTGGCAGACACGACACCAATCAGGACATTGAGAGCGTCCTTCACCAGCTCGTGCTCCTTCACCAGGACAGGCTGTGGGGCCTGCAGGAGTCCCCCGCCCAGCACCTGCAGCTCCCCTTGGCGGAGCCCCCAGAATTTGTCGAAGGCGTCCCTTCCTGCCTCGGTGAGGTAGGGCTCGTCTCTGTGGCCAGGGGGGCTGTGTGGGAGACGGGGGTGGGTGGTCAGCAGGCAGAGCAACAGGCACCTTAGCTACATGACGAAGGCAAGAGAAAGGGTCAGAAGTACAGACCGGGCACAAATCCCAACCGACCACCAGCCCTTCAGTCCTCATCCAGCAGGCTCAGTGCTGGCTGCCACTGAGCCCATCAGGATGACCGCAGAAACACAGCGGTGCCCTCTCACCCTGTGGCCACATGGAGTCGGGAGGCCAGTGGGAACGCATTCCCGGAATGCACCCCCCAGCTGGAGGGAGGAAGTCCCCTCCTCCCTCCAACAGCCCCCAGAGATGGCCAGCGGGCCCCCTCGTTCGTCCTCCTCCCGGGCTTCCCCACACAGCAGCCCTGCCAACACCCTTTCCCCAAAAGTGATGCTCTTCCCCCAACTTTCCCTTGGCTTTGCTACAACTTGCAAGTCCTGAATTGCGATTCCTCTGCCAGTCGCAAATGAACCTAAGAGAGTATTGTTTATCTTTCAAGACAAAAGTCATTTTTCCACCAGGTAATGGCTCTAAGCTATAGGAAGTTCTAACATGGAGGTGGGGTCTGACTACCAGCACATTTCCAACTTCACATCAAGCATGAGGTACAAGGTAGAGAACAATACATCTTAGAACTTGCCAAATCAAAAGTGCTTTTTAGCTGCACCATGACTGACCCTTTGTCATTCAGCAGGTGTCTGAGTGCGGGGGGAGCAGTCCTGGGAACAAGTCCATCCCTCAAGGGGGCGGGTGGCACAGACGGAAGCCACGAGGAGAGGACACTGAGCCCAGGACCGCCTCAGAGACACAGGAGACGCAGGCCACATCCCGGAGCTACGGCAGCAGCAGAAGCCAGCCAGTGGGAGGCCCAGAGACAAGAAGAGAGAGGGGAGCTCAGCAGTTGGGGGTGGGGGAGCAGAGAGGTAACGAGGTCACAGGAGCGCTGACCATCACTGTAGACAAGGGACAGCTGTGAAGCTCAGCAGGCGGAGCAGTGATGTGCTCTGATTTCTGTCCCAGAAAGGTGACACTGGTTGTGTGGAGGATGGGCTAGAGGGGACAGGAGGAAGTCAGTGGGCAGGGCTTGGCCAGACAAGGGACACCTGCCCAAACTCCCTCAGGGCAAGAAGAGTGTGAGGGAAAGAAAACCCTCTGAAGCTTCAGCATCCTGAGTGCCCCTCCAGACAGTCTCTCAGGACAGGTGTGCACACGTGGGTGCTGCCACCCCAGGTGCTCTCACCCCAACTCGTCTAGGGCCAGACCCAGCACCACTGGGGCCAGCTGTGCACCCCTTGGTGACTCAGAGGTGAGGAGAAAAACCCATGAAGGAAAACACCCCATTCACTCATCCCCACGGGGAACTCAGCCCTTAACATAAGAGAACTGCTCCCCCCAAACGGGTGTTGGCCGCAGAGAAAGCGGAGCAACCCCAGCTGCGGGGAGGGCGGCCTTCGGACCAACACTGCCTCTCAGGGTGTTACAGAGGGGAGGGGGGTCTTCCAGGGGTCTCAAGGCAAAGAGAGCCTGACAGTGCAGAATTCCATACATGGAGCTCTGCTTCTGGGGGGCTGGCAGCTTCCTAACTGCCCACAGGCAGAGCTCACTGCAGGAAAGCAGGGGACTGGAATTCAAATTGAAACAAGTCCAACAGATCCGCCAAATGAACTCAAGAGAGGCCTCAGGGCTCAGGGCTCAGCAGGATCAGGTCACCGTCTTGCGGGGGGCGCAGCCCTGGGGAGGGGGTCTCCCCGCAGAAGCCGCCCATGTGGAGCATCGGCTGCAATCCCTGCAGGAAGCATGGTGGTATTCCTGACCCCTGGAGACCAGGTGAACGATTATGACTTCTGAACAGCACCCTGAACGAACAGCAACCTGAACAACTAGGCCTAGAAAAGCAGTAATAAATGAAATGCCACCAAGTATTTACAAAAGAAAATGGTGATTTTTGGGGCCAGTTTTGAGACATGTCAAAGGCTGACAGAGAGCAGGATAGTTAAGACTTGTTTTGTACACACAAGACAGGACTGAAGATCTAACCAGAAAGTACAGGCAGAGAAGCCCCTCCAAGACAAGACAACTGCCAACACCAACGGTGCTCAGGGAAGCAGGGGGCGGCTGTCCCTGGAGGAATCCGCACTGGGGGCAGATGACTACGCCAGGAAAGCTGCCGGCATGCAGTCGGCGCTTAATAACTGCGCATCCCTAGGCATGTGCCCATCCTAAGGAGACCATAGGCTGCATCAGATGGTGCTCGGGCCCCACTAACTCCAACTCTTTCTTCAGTGTCCCCCAAACTGGCATTCCACAGAACTGCCAGCAGTTAACACTGGACCAGAATCCCATGACCAAGCATTTGGGTCCTGCATGGCCATTCTGGGAGGTTCCAAGACACTAGCACTTTGCAGAGACTCTGAGAGGTCCTGAGTGCAGAGGCCTCTGGACTGGATAAGCCCAGGGCATAAGCTGCTGGCACCACCTGGGCAAACACTGCTCAACCGGACTCAGCCAGAATGGCTCCAAACATAGGGGGCAGTGGACATGAGAAAAGTTCCTTGTCAGCACCCCATACCCTGGATGCATTTCTTCCTGGCACTGACCACACAGCGTAGCAGGCTGCCCTTGGACACCTCTGCCTGGAAGCCCTCATAGAAAGGACATAATTTGGTTGCAAACTGAGTGCTCTAAGGAGAAAATGTGATTTGCAGAGGTTACCGGCATGGTGGGAACCTCCACAAAGCCTGGAAGTTCTTTCTCTTCTGCATTTCTCTCAACTCCCAGGACACAGGCAATGTCATACACTGGCTTGGCTGAAACTTCCAGGGTCCTAATCCCGTCACAGCTGCTTCTATTACAACCATCTGAGCTCTGAGCAAAGGTCATGTTCACACATTGGGGAAGAAGTAAGACATGTCAAGGCAAAGGCTCATACCATCCAACCTGTTCCCAGCACCTCTTCTTGCTGGCCTCATAGGTAAGCACAGCATCCCACGGGTCGACGTCCGGAGTCACGCCTGCTTCAGACTGGGAATCAGGTGTCAGATTGGATGCTGACTGGAACCCTTCATCTTCCGACTGATCCACACTCTGAGGAACCTGGAGACCACAGGAAAGAAGGAAAGAGCACATATGCCTTTATGTCTATATTTCACCTGTGTGAGCACAATTCCAGAACTTTTCCACACACTTCCATTGCTCATGATGGGAAAGACCCAGCAGAAGGTTTCACCTATTTTTCTCAAGCATGTATGTATTACACAACGTTTTCACCCCAACTGAACCATTTAAGGAATTGATTTATTACAGTTATCAACTTCCAATTTCATACAATACATAAGCCTCAATGTAACTTAGAATGAAATGCTTCTGATCTGGAAATTCCACTTTGGGAAACCCAGCATAAAAAACTCATACCAGACAACTGAAATAATTTACATAGCCCAAGATGTTGACTATAGCATTATTTATATTTGGAAATAACTTAAATATCTTATATTGGGGGGATGACTGAGTAATAGTAGTGTATCCTTTCAGCAATGCTTATAAAAACACAGAATACAAAGGCCAATGATGATTAATAATGCAGGAAAAATCCCATGTTATAGGTGGGAAAATGTATATAAAAGTGCATGTATAGTATGAACAAATATTCCTTGCCACCATGGCTATTGAACACTTGAAAGGTGACTTATGCCACTTTTTATTTCATCTTAAGTTTAAGTAGCAGCTCTAGAGAGCAGAAAAGTTACTTAACTAACCACATCCCTTGTTGGATAAAAGATGAGAAGCGGCATGTAGCTTTGGCCTACAGGGGGGCCCTCCAGGACTTAGGAGCTACTGACTTTACCGGAACAAAAGGGAAGTCAAAAGAGGCATTTCTAACAGGCTTGGGAGCTGGAGGCAGGAACACAAACACCACCTTAATAGCCAGTCCAGAGAGGTCCGCGCTGTCCAGCACCGGGGGCACGTCCAGTCGGACATCCATGTCGTATGTGCGGCTGTGCACAAGGGCACCGAAGAGCGAGACCCGGGTGTCTCTCTCAAACCCGTCACCGCAAGGGTCACCATATGAGAAGAGCCCAACAGTGGGCAAGCTGGTGCCCGGCGCCGACTCCATCACTTGAAGCGCTTTCTGGATCATGTCCTGACATAAATACTCCTCTCTGGAGATCAGAGATTGAACATCCATCTCAAATACACTCAGGTCGTAGCAGTCGTAGCCGCTGTAAGGGACGTTTCTGCCAACGTGCTTGTTGTTGAAGAAGTAGTCCCGCTTTCGCGGCAGTGCTCGAGGGGGGCCACTCCCTGCCAGCTGAACCAGGAGGTCCAAGACAGACTCCACCTCCGCGAGGGGACAGCAAGGGGCTGCTTCGAGCTCCTCCACAAGCTCCTCCAAACGGTCAGCCTCGGGGCCAAGGCCACCCACTCTCAGGTCGAAGGACAGCATGAGGATCTTGTTTTTCACCGGGAGTTTTGAGAGATCTGGCTGCTGCTTATGAGTCTCATCTTGGAAAAGATTTGTGAAAAGGGCATTGTAGGCCACCCTTTTGAGGCTCCGCTTGGCCCTCCTCCGGCTCACGCCGCGCTGGCCCAAGCGAGGCTTGGCAGCGGGCAGGAGAGCCTCGCACAGGTCACCGAACAGCTGGGTGATGCTGGCCATGCCCAGCCCTTCTCAGCAGCCGCCGGGCTGCGCGCGGGCCTCCGGGCGGCTCAGTCCCCGGCTTTCAGTCTTGAGGCTGCGGCCCCCGGCCCGCGGGCGCAGCCGCCTGCGCTTCTCCGACGCCGTAGCCGCCCCTCAGGGCTCAGAGCCCGGCCCGCGAAACGGCGTGCGCGCCCGGCTTTGCCCGCCGTCTCGGGGCCCCAGAGGAGGACGGCCGTCCGGGCGGGGAAGGGCGCTGTCCGAGGACGGGGTGCAGGCCGGCGGCCAGACAGGGTCCGTAAGCTCAGCCCGCCCCCACCCACCAGCCTGACCCCAAAACTGGGCTCCCGCCGCTGTTGCGTCACTGCCACGCGACCGGCGAAATCGAGTAGGCGCGCCAGAATTGCGTCACGGCGAAGGCCAGAGACGCGCGCCGAGGAGCGGGGCCTGGGCGGACGGGGGCGGGGCCTGGCGGACAGGGGCGGGGCCTGGACGGCCGCGGACCGGCCAAAAGGTCACCCTGCGCTTCCTGCGTGTGGCCTCCTTGCTCCCGCCCGTGGGCTCAACAGAGGAGGCGGAGTCAGACTTTCGCTTAACCGTTTACTGATCGCGAGTGGAGGGAGCGAGGCCAGGGGGCCGTCACCTAGAGGCGGGTCGCTAAGCGGGGCTGCGGGTGGCTGCACTGGACCCCGTGGCCCTGAGTCAGTGCCCTGGGCGCCTGTAGCCTGGCCCTCAGAACTGAAGCCTCAGGAAGCGGTGTGCTGGCCAAAGTTACCGGCTTTGAGGACTGTTGTGTCATTTCCAGGATGTAAACACTCACACCGTGTCCAATTTCAGGCCGCCAGGTCACTGCACTCCAGGAGGCGCTGGGAAGAAGCGCACTATTAGCCTGACATCACAGTGAGCAGGTTGAGAGCAGCACCCCAGTCTCCAAGGCATGAGGCCCTCTGCCCAAGGGCTGTAAGGTCGGGTGTTCCCCTTGGCCCCAAGCATTCAGCCTGAGCCTTGCCCCCAGCCTCACCAGCCACCTGCAGCATCTGCCACTGTGACTCCAGCTGCCCTCTCAGGCGCACCAGGGCCTGCATGTCCTCTGGGGATGCCACGGAGAAGGGGCCCAGGCTAGGCGGTGCCTCTCCATGCAACACCTGGGCCAGGACCCCTGCAAGCTGGGTTGTGGATTCCTGGGCCAAAGGCAGAGGTAGAAGCAGTGGGTCTCTGGTCTCTCCCCACTTCCCACCCCACAGCACATCCACCGTGCCCAACTCACCTGGTCCACAAGGGCCAAGACTCGGCCCCCTGCAGGCCCCCGTAGCAGTGCAGCTAGGAGTGCAGCTTGGGGGTCCTGCAGGCCATGGGCAGGCCCCACTGCCACCAGTACGAGGTCAGGCTGGAAACTATAGGCTATGGGCAGCACCAGGGCTAGGATGCAGCTCAGGAACCCACCGGTCGTCTGTGGATGATGTAATAGCATAACCACGGCCCCTCATCCAGGGGATCCCACTCTTGCCAGCTCAGGCCATCCTGCCTCCCAATCTCAGCTGGGCAGCTACACCAAAGGTCCCACCAGGAAGTCAGAAAGAGCAGGTGAGGGCCAGAGGCCCAGCCCCCATGACACTGCCAGTGAGTAGCAGGCTCGCTGCCCTGCCACCAGCACTCACCTCTGGCAATGGCATGGAGACATGGGACGTGGACAGGGCAGCCACCTCCTTGCCCCCGATGTTCAGCCACAGACTCCTCCTTCCAGAGGAGAGCACACATGGACACATCTGCATGTGTGTGAGATGCTGCTCGCCCTCCAGAGGCTCGACAGCAGAAAGGGAGGTGCAGAGCGCTCAGGGTCAGAGATGCTGGCGCTGCCGACCCTCTGTGACCCTCCCGGCACTGCCCTCAGGGGCACCCCCTACCAAACTCCAGCTGTGGAAGGTGGAAGGCCCCAACCCACCCATCACCTGTGAGGATCCAGGCAATGTGCCCACCCACATGCAGGACTAGACATACACACAACCCAAGAGCCATACCCATCATTGGCCAGGTCTGGGGACAGGTCCAGCTGTCCCACAGCCACGCAGAGCAACCTAGAGGAGACCAGGCTGCGCTCACCCCGCCTGGAGGCCAGTCGCAGAGCCTTCCCCATGTGGAAGAAGCAGGGGTGGTGTGGCCAACCCAGGCTCAAGGAGTGCCCACCAGCCATGCCCCCAGAGGCTCAGGCCAGCTAGACAAGGCTCACCTCCGGGCTCTGTGGGACAGGCTGTACCGAATGGCCACGTCCAGGGTGGTAGCTACAGCAGGGGCTGGAGTGGCTGCAATGCCGCTGCTCACCTGTGGGATAACAGAAGTGGAAGGCAACTCCTAAACCAGGGTAACAGACTCCTCCATCCCTTCTTTTGGTCCCTGTCTATATGGCTGTCATCCATACACTCTGCAGTCACATTGTTCCACTTCCAAAAATAAGACGCTTGCAAATACACTTTAAGTCATCTCTTTCACCTCTCTGCCTAAGAGCTTTAGTGGAAGGGACTGGGGCGGGGGTCAGGGGGTTCTCACAAACCCATCCCTGGGGGCTCTTCTGGGAAGGGTCCTAGGCACAAGACAACACTCATGTCCACACAGTTCTGTACTACCCAGCCCTTCCCTGGACAGACCACTCCTCAGCCCCTTCAAGGTAACCCCACCTGCCCATCCAGGATCCCATCCAAGAGATACAGGACCTTCCCAAGTGCAGTAAAGGCCTCATCCTGTACCAGGACGTCATGCAGCCTGTGGTGTACAAGCCAGGGAGACACAAGGATGTCGGGTGACACCAGACCACAAGAGAGTCACACATGGGCACACAGGCAGGCATAGTTCCACCTCTCTCTCCAGGCCCACTCTGCCTACCTGGCCCAGGCCTGTGCCTCCTCCTGTGGGGCTGACCCCACCTGATGGAGGACATCAGGGGGCAGGCCCAGGGCCGCGTCCATCTCATTCAGGGCAACAGCTGTTCGGACAGGGGGCGTGGGCTGGAGGCACAGCTGGTCCAGGAGGGAGCTCAGAGCAGCTGAGGCCTGGGCCTCTGCCGCCTTGAACTCAGGCCCCCCGGGCAGCAGGGGCAAGGCCCTCTCCTCTGGGCAGCTTGTGCTGGGATGCAGCGTGGAGGCCAAGCCTACGGGATGGGTCAGAGTCGCAGCCACTGCATTGGGCCAGGGCGCTGACCCCTGCCCAGCCAGGGCCACACTGACCTTGCTGCTGGAGGCTCACCCAGTGATGGGCCTGGGCTGCCCGGACACGCTGGATGGACTCCAGGGCACTGCGGGGAGAGGCCGGAGTGATGAGGCCTGGCCTTGCACCCACAGCCCTCCCCACTCTCCTGCTCCCTGCACCTGTAATGCAGCACCATTGGTCCCGACAGGGGAGGGGCGGGGTCGCCCAGCAGCGCCCGCACCACCATGCACACAGACTGGGAGAGTGACTCCAGGTGATAGCCGCCCTGGGAGGAGGGCAGAGGTGCGTCATGGGGGCGGGTGGCCCCATCCCAGGCAGGATGCCCTGCCCTGGGTGGCAGCCCCCTCCAGCTGCGCCTCGGCCTCTGGCCGGTGAGCCCATCCTGTTTGCCAGTCACCTCCAGCACGGCACAGACCCGGCCGCCAGCCAGCACCTGCAGCAGCTGTGTGAGGTGTGCGAAGCACTCTGGTGTGGCCTGCATCTGCCCCTAGAACCAGAGCCAGGTGTGATGAGGGCCTGGCCTGGCACCCCAGAAACTCTCCTCAGCCAAGCCAAGCCCTCACCTCGGGATCCCCAATTGCTGAGTCAAATCCTGCCGAGACTAGCACCAGCTCAGGGTCAAACTGTGGGCAGGGCCAAGAGGGAAAGCACAAGAAAGCAGTTGGAGTCGGGGTGGAAGGGAGGCCCCTCCAGAGAGATCGTCCCCACCCCCAGGGCAAACTGGGCACCAAATCTCTTCTCCAACCCCTGCCCTCCACGAAGTCACCTCAAAAGCCAGAGGGAGCAGCACGTGCAGGAAGGCAGCCACGTAGTCAGCATTTCCCATCCCGACCTGAAGCCACAGGGCATCAGTGTTGGGCCCTGCCAGCCGGGGCTATGGGGTCTTCACCCCTGAGGCCCAGGTTCTGGGGGTGGCCCTGGCAGGATGCTCTGGACTGGGTTCAGGAAGCCCAGAGATGTGGTGAGGAACGCAAGTTGGGTGAAGGGCTCCAGTGGCGGGGGGCACAGGGGACCCAGGCTGAGGAGCAGGCACCTGGTTCCAGGGCAGGTTGACAGTGAAACCGCGGCCCCGCCCCTGCCCAACAGCATCCACATCTGACTCTTGCAGACAGGGCCAGAAGCGCCCATGCTCATAACGGTGCCAGGAGAAGTAAAGCACGCTGCAGACAACCAGCCAGGGTTGGGGTGGGTGTCAGAAGTCAGGACCCTCAGCCCCATGGCCTTCTGTAGCACATGGCCATGTCTACCCCATCCAATTTTTCTAGGTCAGCTGTGTGCCCCAAAGAGCGGTGTTGCAGGGAGGAGTCGTGTCCCCCAACCCCCGCTCACCTGGGGTCATCCTCAAAGATATACTGGATGCCCTGGCCATGGTGGATATCCCAGTCGACAATGAGGATCCTGGGGAGAGACAGCCCTGGGGATACTAAGGGGCAAGTCATCCGCTCCAGCCCAAGAGTAGACGATGCCGTCTACTTCCATCCGGTGTGTGCCCTGGAGACACATTCCCCCCAGACACATCCACGTGCCTGTGCCTGTTCACAGCTGTGGCTGCTGAACCCGGCTGGTAGCCCCCTGTTCATGAACATGCGAATGCCTCTACCCTCTCTCTCTGGCCTGGGGCCCTGCCCTTCAGCAGCCGGGCACCCACCTGTGCAGCCCGTGTTTCTGCTGGGCATGTTTGGCTGCTATCGCCACATTGTTGAACACACAGAATCCATTGGCGGCGGCCCTCTGGCTGTGGTGCCCAGGAGGCCTGAGGGTGACAGTGGAGTGTAGGGCACATCAGGGTCACCCTGTGCTCTCACAGGGACACCCATGGATGGGGGCAGCCGGGGGGAGGGGTGCAGCACTCACCTCACGAGCGCAAGCCCGTTGCGCACAGTCCCAGTCAGCACGGCATCCACAAGCTGCAGTGCAGCCCCCGCGGCCAGCCGGGCAGAGTGGAAGGTACTCTGTGGGGGCAGGAGTACAGATGAGCTCCACCTGCTACTCCTCACAGGCTCTTCCCAAGCCTGAGCCAGGCTGCAGGGCACCAAGGTGTGGGCAGAACAGGTCAGGCCAGTCTGGGTGCCAGCAGCAGCCAGTGGAGTGTGCAGGGCATTCGCATGTTCATGAACAGGGGGCTACCAGCCGGGCTCAGCAGCCACAGCTGTGAACAGGCACAGGCACGTGGATGTGTCTGGGGGGAATGTGTCTCCAGGGCACACACCGGATGGAAGTAGACGGCATCGTATTGTCTGGACAGCTCCTGGAGTTCCCTGGTGCCCAAGGCCTGGGTGCCCCGCAACAGGGCCACGTACTCTGGGCTGCAGAGGGGCAGACGGCAAGGCACGGTCACCAGCTGGAGCGGGGAAGGGAGGACAAAGAGGGACTGGACCCTGGTGGGACTGCCCACCTCACTGCCCCCTCACCCACCCACAGGGTCATGAAACAGGCAGGTGAGGGGGAGGCCAGTGTGGGGGGCATTAGGCGCTGGGGTGGGCCGGGTCCTAGGCAGCCTGCTGGGTGGCATGCAGCCCACTGGGGTCCGACCTGTGCACCAGGCCCAGCTCTGCCTCTGAAGCCTCTCGGGCTGCCAGCCGCAGGCACCGCTGCTCCAGGCCGTGCTGCTGCAGGCGCTCCAGGGCCGAGGTCAGGCGCTCAGGACCCTCGATCTCGCATGCGGGGCTGAGGGGACAGGGCGCTCACAGTGGGGAGCCTCACGCCATCCCTCGCCTCCGCAGGTCGTACTTACTCGTCCCAGAGGAGGCGGGTCGCTGTCATGTCCTCGTGGTACACGAGTGCGGTCCCCATGGCCCGGAGGGGGTCCCTTTGGGGCACCCTGGGGGGCGGGACCCAAGCGCGTCCACACGCAGCAGTACCGGGCCCCCCCCCACTCGGTAACCCCAGGAGCAGCGCACGCCTGGGCCACACTGGGCGGCGGGCACGGAAGGGGCGAGGCCGGGGCGGCTTCCGGCTTCTTCCCCCGGGCCCGCCCGGCCGTCGTCCTTCCCAGGCCGGGGGCTCGTCGGCGCGATGCGCGAGGGGCGGCGTGAGGCGGGTGCCGCGGGCGCGGGCCGCTCCCTGACCCCGCGGGGCCCCCGGACGAGCTGCGCAGGAAGCAGGCGGCCCAGGAGAGCCCGCGCCAGCTGGCGGCGTGGACGCGCGGCGCCGCCCCGGGTCTAAGGCGGGGGGGGCGGGGAGGGCCCCTGGCAAGAGGGCGGCCGGGTCAGGGTCTGGGTAGCGGCACAGAAGCGGGGCAGGCGCCGCCCAAGCGTGGGAAGGACGGAAGGGCCCGCGAGAAGGGCGGGAAGGAATAAACGGGTGAGCGGGCAGGGCCCGCGAGGGGGGAGGCCGGCCCGGGACGCAGGGGGCTCCGGGTCAGCGCCCAGGCCGACGGCGGGCGGGGACCGGCGGCTGGAGGTGGGGTGGGGATCAAGCCCTGGGGGCGGGCCTTCGGAGGAGGGGGGCAGGCCTTTTGGCGGCAGAGTTCTGGGAGTATGTCCCCCAGGGGGGTTCTTGGAGAGGCATGTGCCTCTGGAAGCGGGGCCCTAGGGCAGGGGTGCCCCTAGCCCCCCTCAGTGGACCCGGCCGACCCCCGCGGTGAGAGGGACTGACGGCGGCCCTGACGTCCCCACCGCCGATCAGGGCACCGGCCTGCCCGGGCAGCTGGCTCCCGCGGGGTTCAGGTGAGACTCCCAGAGGATCGTTTTGGGTCAGATGTCTGCCCCTGCGCCAATGAACGATGGTTAGGAATGTGGTGTTGAGTTTCACCGTCAGGTGCACGTGGCCACGAGGGTCGGGAAACAGAGGGCCTCAGCGGCACAGGAGGGCCCCTGGGAGGCGGCCGGTGCCCACCGTGTCTGCCCATATCTGGCCGAGCCCACTGTGCGTGTCCAGCCGAACTCCAGGCAGGGAGAGGGTGGGAGTCCTGGCCCCACCCTGGGGACAGGTGGGAGGAGCGGGCAGACACACGGTGGTCCCTGACCCAGCTGCCAGCCTTCAGGAACGTTGAATGGCCAACAGAATGCCACATTTGGACGCGACCGGGGGAGAGGCTACAGGTTTGGAAAGAGGACAGAGCCCATCCTCTGCTGTACCACAGCAGCCTCTACATCTAGGCTCCCCAGGAACTTGACCGTGTTGTGCATGGAGCTCAGACAGCTAGGAATGAACCCCAGATGGGACCCTAACATTCACTGCCATCAGTCCCTGCCCCGAGTCTGGCTCCGGAGTGTGAGCCATTAGAGAAACATCAGCTCACAGTGGGAAGGGGCCCAAGCCCCAATGTGGAGGCTCCAGGATTGGAGTTCACTAGCATAGGACACAGGGAGGTGGGCACCAGCTCTGACCCGCTAGACGGCCCCGGTGCAGGGGCTCGGGAGGTGCCAAGTCTCCCAGGGCAGCGTTCTTTTCCTGTGCAGCTCAGGGGCCTAACAGTGGAGATCCAGCCCAACAATCAGGACGCAAAGCCAGGGCAGCTCTACAAAAGGGTCTGCTTCCTTCCAGCCATATGGGCACAGCGCATGGCCAATTTACTTTCCAGGCCGGGGGTGCAGGAGAGTAAGAATCCACCCCAACAGCCCCCAGAACAACAACCCTGAGGCAGCGCTCTGCGTCCTCCCTGTCCTTTCTTCTTCAGCACTGGTGAGCAGGCAGGGTCAGACGCTAGTCCTTGACCCCTAGCCCTGCCCCACCACAGCTGTGGCTTCTTGTTGCAGCCTGGGGAAGGGGCCACTGCTCATGGGGTCAGAGGCTAGCCCCAGGCCAGGTGGATGTCCTGTCCAGAAAGTTCAGATGCGCCTCCAAAGCTAGGCTGCAGTGCAGCCTGAGAGCAGGGGAACAGGCTTGGGGAGTGAGTCCATGTAATGAGGAGTCTCCTGGGGTGCAAGCCCAAGCAGAGGTCACAGCAGTAAACCGGATTCCCCTTCCAGGTCGGAACCCCAGCTGGGATCTCCAAGATATCCTCACCGACACCATCAGGGCCCAGGGGTCTTCACAGTGCCGTCTCCTTGGAGGCCTTGGCACCCAGCTGCTGGGGGTGCTTAAAGTTGAGCACCTCTTTATACGTGACACCTGGGACAGGATGAGAGCAACAGAGACGGAGCCTCATGGGGGAAGGGGCCCATCACCCATCAGAATCAGCCCCCAGGGTGCACCAAGGGCGGACGCCAGCCCCCCAAGATGGGTGCCGGGCCCAGTCCACTGGTGCTTGCCCTGACCAGTGATGAGCCAGTGAGGCCCACTCAGGGTCAGGGTGCAGGCTGTTAGTCACTGACCTAAGCGCCCATCAGGCCCCCAGAGCATCAGGATCAGAGGTCACACACAGGTGCCATTTGTCCCACACCACCGCCATTCTCAAACCACCTGTGTCCATCCACAGGAACCCACAGCCCCTGGCGTGGCAGGCAGGCCCTGGCCCCACAGCCTGCCTCAGTGAGCAGAGGACCTCCTAGGAATGTAAACCAGTATGTCCACTTGAGTGGAGCCACTCAGGGTACTACCATGACACGCCCCAGTCCCTGGACCCAGGACATCCACGAAGATTTCGATGAGAGGACTCCCCATTACCCCAGCACCCACCTTCCACACCCAGTGGTCATGCTTCCTGAACTGTGTGCTCAGAGTGAGCCATCCGAAAGAGAGGGAGGCCTGCTCTGCGTCCCTTCTGACCAGTCTTTAGGGACAGGCTCCGCTCAGCCTACCCCAGCATCCCCACGTTTGTCTGGCCAGGGGAGTGTCTATTTGGGGGGCACTGGCCCTCCACAGCCCAGCTCAGGAAAGGGCAGGTGTCTGTGCGGTTTGGCACCACACGGTGCAGGTAGACCCCCCACCCCATGGGGGGTACCTAGGGCCCTCATCCTTCATTCCTGACCGGGGCCTCAGCCACAAATAGGCCCTATGTCCATCATGGTCAGGGGTAAAAGCAAAAGCGCTCACCAAAGTTTCTGTGGGCCGGGACCACAGAGAGGATCCTATGGCTTGTGGTTTTCATGTTAATCTTTTTTAGCAGCAGAAAACTTCCATCAAGCCAAACCAAACTTATACGCCCAAAGCACAGAACAGGTAATCGGGGAGCCCCTGCTGGAGGCACCGAAGAGCCCAGTGGCCCTAAGGGACATGGCTGGAGAACCAGAACCCATTCAGCCCCATCCCCAACCCCATCCAATGTCCTAGGTGTGGGGCACAGCCAGGATGCAGCCTAGCACAGTGGCAGCCCCACGGGGCTGACGGGCACCCTCAGACAGACCTGCGCCACAGGCTGGTCCTACAGACACTGAAAGACACCAAGCCAGCTGTCCCAGTCTGCCATTCTGGGGTGGAGATGCACAAGGCCAGCCCTAGCGTGGGGCATCAGGACCGCGGCAAAGAGGGGCCTGGGCACCAGACAGCCTGAAGCTGAGCAGACGGTGGTGGGCCTCAAAACATGAGAAAAGCCCCTGGTGTGAAGGGGATGGCCAGTAAGCTGGAGGTGCACAGCACAGTTTTGGGGGGTCTGTACTGCTCAGTAGAGCTGGAGGGGACAGTCAAGGGGTGGTGAAGTGCTGTGGGCTGCCTGGGGTGGACCTTGCCTTACCGGTGGGATATGAGGGGAACACAGTTGTCCGGGTGGGAGGGGTCCTGAAGGGACAAGGAAAGGCAGGGACAAGCTTGAGAAGCATGAGCACAGGTCGGGGGCACAAGTGGGTATGGAGGGGCTCTGGGGTGTCCCGAGCCTCTGGTCTGGCCGCTTGGAGGGAGCTGGGCACACTGGGGCGGAGGCCAAGTGCTCACCACAGCCTGCACCGAGCTGGGCTCCCATGACTTTCGGAACTCTTTTCGTGCTCCCTTGTGCCAAACCCCTGCCGGGAGCACCCCCTCTTAACCTTCAGCTCCAGCCAAAGGTCGCCTCCACCAGGAAGCCCTCCTGCCCTCTGACTGCCTATTGTGTTCCTCACTTGACCTGTTTCCTGAGGTGGGGGTGCCCAGGACTGAGCCCTTGGCCACCTGCATGGGCCCTCGGGATGCAGCCACGGGCCCTGCCCCGACTCCGGACTCACGCTTCCATTCATCCAGGGTGCGGTCCACATCGTCACAGGACTCGTCATACTTGTGGGCCGCGGGCTCGTCCTCTGTGTCCTGCAGTGACTCGAAGTAAGGGTGGGCCAGAGCCTCGGCCGCGGTCGCCCGTCGCTCCGCGTCCAGCACCAGCATCTTCTCCAGGAGGTTCACAGCTAGGGACAGGGCTAGTCAGGCCCGGCTGGGGAGAGCCCCTTGCCCTGGTCCCTGACCCACACCCTGGCCCTACCCAGAGGGCTCGCGTTGGTCAGGAAGGAGGTGAAATCCTTCTTCTCTAACTCGGGGAGGCCCTTCATGTAGTTCTTCGCCTGTGTAGGGAGACAGGATGAGGGGCCAGCCCCCAGCCCAGGCCCTAGCGCAGGCCCTCCGGCCCTCCCAGCTCCCGACTGACGTCAGCGCTCTGCAGCTTCTGCACAAACTCGGCAGGCGGCGTCCCCGTCACCTTCAGGATCTCCTTCAGCTGGTCCAAGTCTGCACCGAGCTGAGGAGCACAACCTGGGGCCAGAGCAGGGCTCACCCACCCATCTGGCCTGGGCAGCACCCTGCCCCCACCTGCTCCCCACAGGTTCAGGATACGGTCATTGCCCTTAAACAGCGTCTTGCCTGTGATCATCTCCGCCATGATGCAGCCCACTGACCAGATGTCCACTGAGACAGAAGCCCCTGCATCAGGGGTCTGTAGGCCAAGGAGGGTGGGGACACACACACAGGGCAAGGGGAGACTGACACGAGGTGAGGGGGACATGGACACAGGGACACGGGCCATCTAGCCTGCATGCCTTCACCCAGCTCAGCGGCCTCCCCACGGCTTCCCAGGACAACACAGAGGAGCAGGCAGGCATACTGGGAGGCCGACATGGTGGGTGACCTGAGTCCCTGGGCAGTTTCTCACCAGTCTGTGTGTAGCGCATCCAATTCAGGATGACCTCGGGTGCCCGGTACCACCGGGTCACCACATATCCAGTCATCTCACTGTCTGCCTGCCTGGCCAAGCCAAAGTCCAGAATCTGCAGCCAGAGGCAGGAAGGAGGGGCAAAGGGGCCCCAGGGAATGGGTGGGCCAGCCTGTGGTCCAGGAGACCCCAAGGGGACTGGCCCACCAAGCACCCTGCCTACGCTCCAGAGGCTAAGGTCATGGCCAGACCCCCAAGCCTCTCCCTATGCTCCTCCCCATGGCCAGAGCACCCAGACCAACGGACCTTGTGTCCCCTCCACCCTTAGGAGCAGGCACCTCAAGGGGTCTCCCCTACCTGCTCCTCCACTCTGCAGACCCCTGGGCCTGGCCATCACCTTTGAGGATGCCTACTGAGCCCTGCCCTGGCGCAAGACATGGAGGACTAGGGACACTCCCTGCCCTACGCCTCAAGCAGGTACAGGAATGTGCCTGAAGCCATCTACATCAAGTGCCTCCCCGGGGCACATCTGTCCTTCGGCTTCTCAGCTCCTGCCTCGATGCCTGGGGTCTGGGCCTTGGCCTTGGCCTGGGCCACCCCTCCTCCAGGCCTGAGGACCAAAGGCACAGAAGGCAGGTGGGCAGCTGGGGAGGGAGCCCAAGCCCCCCGACCCACCCAGCACACACCTTCAGCTCACAGTCCTCATTCACCGCCAGGTTGCCGGGCTTCAGGTCCTAGGAGCAAAGGAAAGGTGGCTGCGCAGTGGAGCCGCCGCCATGTGAAAGGGCAGAGCCTGGGCAGTGCCTCGATGAAGGAGCAGCCAGACTTGGCTGGCCCCACCCGACGGGAAAGGTGGAGGTGCCCGGGCCCCTAGGGCTGCGTGTTGGCCTGTGTACACCCCACACTGGACGCCGCCACGCCCCGTTACATACAGGCTAGAAGCAGGGGCTCCTGCAGGTCGAGCCCCTCACAGGCTCACACGGCCAGGGAAAGCCCCCCCACCACCAGGACTCACCCTGTGGATGATGCCAGCAGCGTGGATATACTGTGGGGGCAAAGAAGGGGTCAGCAGCAGACAGCTCACTGGACCCGGAGAGCCCCGGGACAGCAGCCTGGGGAGCTCCACCTTCTCCTGCCCCCTAACCCCGACCCATCTCCACCTTCAGGCCTTTTAGCATCTGGTAGACAAGGAACTGGACTCGGTCCTCACTCAGCTTCTCATGCTTCATGAGCTTGCCCAGGTCAGTGCCCATGAATGGCATTACCAGGTAACTGCAGAGATTGGGGTGGGGTGCAGACAGATGTCCCCCACTGGACCTGGGCTCAGAGCCTGGACAACCCTGTCACCTTGTAGTACCGTGTTACCTCCCCTGATGCCCATCCACCCATCCAAAGGGGGCAGCTCTGTCCACCCAGCCCGCCCCAGGACACCAGGTTGGTCGGGACTGGGCTGAAGGCATTCTTGAAGGGCAGTGTGCCAGGCTGGGAGCTGGGAAGCCAGAGGCTCACAGGCAGGGAAGGACGCCAGAGAAAGGAGAGAGATGCCTGCAGGCAGGGGTCATTTAAGTCAGAGGAGCCAGCTGGACCGGGGGCTGGGGACAAGGACAGAAGGGAGAGACACTCATTATCCTGTGAGCACACTGGGGCCAGTCTGAGTCCTTGACCTCTGCGAGGTCAGGAGGCCAGGAGCCTGTCCTCCCCAGCCCCTGGCTCTCAGCCAACAACAGGGCAAGTCCAGGGGTGGCCGTCCACAGGGCAGGCTCGGCAGAGCAAGGACAGGGAGAAGTCCTCCCTATTGCTCCTCCTCTGCCTACCAGCAAAGGTCAACAGCTCCAGTTACAGGCCACACGCTTGATGCCAGGGTCCCAGAGCAGGGGACCTGCCAGCCAACAAATGCTCAGACCAAAGGCTCACACTTCTGGACCTGGAGAGGGCCCGGTACCAAGCACACTTGTAGGAGGCCAGGGGCATGTGGCAGAGGGTGGACTGTTGTGTGGGAGGAGGTGGGCATTGTGCATCCCAACCCCCATCTGGGCTGCAGGAGAAGCCTGCCTCAAGCGGGTCCCGATGCCAACCCAGTTGGTGCCCGGGAATCTCCCAACACCTGGCCAGCCAGCCCCAAGCTGGCACTCACAAGTCTGTGAAATCATCCAGGGACTCGTCAGGAGTGAACACGTCCAGCAGCCCGATCACCTGGGGAGGAGGCCAGAACACCAAGTGGGATGGGACATGGTGGAAGGCATAGGGGGGGCTCAGGCATATCCCTGAGGCTGGCACTGTGTCTGGGGCAAGAGAGCCCCCCTGCAGCTGTCCCCCTCTACCCCACTGTCCACAGCACCTAGCTCTGCCCACTGGAACTGCCACCCAGCCTGACACGCATGCCCACAGACACAAGCTATTTTTGGATGGTGACAGCCAAGACCCTCCGTGGGAGGGGCAGCTCCAAGTCTGGGTCGGTTCCCAGCATCCAAGAGCTTCAGCCCTCAGCCCTCCCCCACCCCTTCCGGTCCCCACTGAGGACCCAGGACCAGGGTGGGGACAGTCTCCAGGGGCGATGCCTCTGCTGGAGAGGCCCAGGCAGCATGCTATGACCAGTCCAAGAGCCAGACTTGGCCCCGCAAACCCCGGGTCAGAAGCGAGGAACTACACACAGTATGTGACAGCCAGCACTTAGGATTCAGGGTGACAGGGCCTCCAGGGACCCAGGAGACCCGCACTTGGAGCAGCGGGAGGGCGAGCCAGCAGGGGGATGCCTGGCTGAGGCTGCGTGAACGGCAGCTGAGGCAGGAGAACACTTCAAGCGTTTGAGGAACATGGGGAGGGAGGCCAGGTGGCCAAGGCCCAGGCTAGGGGGTAGCCAAGGAGCGGCCGGAGGAAGCCCGAGCAGGCCCTGGCACGCCAGGTGAAGGTTTGGCTCTGCTTCTAAGAGCTGCCGAGGAAGAGTTTAAACAGGCCTGACGCTGAATGTGTCCCCCTGGCTGCTATATGGGGACAGACCAGAGTGAAGCAAGACTGGACACGAGGTGGAGGGGCAACCTGAGGAGCCGCTGTGGCCCGGCCCTGGGCGGGGGAAGGAGCGGACAGGGCAGATAAACGGGGGGCCCTGGACATGGGTGAGGCCTGGCACTGGGGAAGTGTGCGAGCTTCCCAGCAGCGTGATGGACACTCCTGCGCTTCTGTGGTGTGCATGGCAGCCTGGACAGAGGGGCAGGGCTGGGCCACCAGGCAGCGCCTCCAATGGCCCTCACTTAGCCTCTTGACTTCCTCCCGGGAAAACTGGTTTAGGAGAGGCTGGGCCTCCCAGCTTCTGGCTGGGCTCCCTGGAGGCAGCAGCAGGTCAGGACCTCGACTGGGGTGGTAGAACCCACTGGCCCAGTGGAGGGGGCTGGCCAGGCTGGGGGTGGGAGACCCAGAGACCTTGCTGGATAGGCCTGGGGGGTCCAGGGGGAGTGGGGGTGATGAGGAGCTGAAGAAATCCTCGGGCACAGGAGTCTGCCCTCAGACTCAGGCGTGACCAGGAGGCAGCGAGGCCTGGCAGGGCTGGTGTCCACCATGAGCAGATTTCATCTGGGAGGTCTGTGAGAATGAAGGGCCCACCCTCTTAGCCCCTGAGGAACCGAGGGGATGAGTTTGCTGGTGGGCACAGGAGAAGGCTGTCGGCTCCGATAACCCGGGGGGCAGGTCCTCTGTGTGGGAGCACGGCAGGCCAGGGCCTGGGTGGGCAGACCACCAGCCCTCAGACCGGGCCGAGAGGGACGAGGCAGGAATGGCTGGTGTGGCACGGGGTTGAGTTCTCGGCAGCAGGAGGAACTGCATGGGGAAGCGGGAGGTCCTGAGCACAGGGAAGGGCTCTAGCCGCCAGCAGTAGCGAGGCCAGGCGCGCGTGGTGTCCTGAGGGCAGGTCTGCAGACAGGGGAGGCCTTTCCCTGGTGGGGGTCCAGATCTGCTCCTCGTCCACTGTCCGTGACACCCCACCCCATGGACGCAAAGGAAGCACCTCTGGCGTGCTGGCCACTATACCACCAAGACCCCAAGGCTCTGGGGTGCCAGAGTCAGGACACGGACTCTGATTCCATGCCTGACTCCGCATTCCCAGGGACCCCAGCCCCCAGGGCTGAGGCTCAGGAGGCGGACTAGGGCAGTGTTTAGGGGAGGTGCTGGCTGGAGGCAGGGTTTGGGGTGAGGCCTGGAGAGTCCCTGACTGGGGCCTGGGCTGAGAAGCCAGACACAGCCCCGGTAAGAAGGCCAGGGGCTCCCTCCTCTCAGGGGCAGGCTGAGGGGGCGGACTCTAACCTAGCACAGAGGTGAGAGGCGGGGTGGGCTCTGCCCTCACCCCTCTGCAGACCCTGCCTGGAGCCCGGTCTCCGCCCCACCACACAGGGGGACTGCCTGAGGGCAGGTGGGAAGGCCCGGTCTTCTGGGGTGCGGTCTGCTGGGCAGGAGGCGGGTGCTCCGAGGGCCGGGGGCCGGCGCCACTCACGTTCTCGTGGCGCATGTGCTTGAGGAGGCGCAGCTCGCGGTAGGCCCGCTTGGCGAAGAGCTCCGACTGGAAGGGCCGGTACAGCTTCTTGATGGCCACCTTGGCGCCGGTGCGGCTGTCCACGGCCGAGCTGCGGACGCAGCGCTTAGTGCGAGGGCCGGGCCACGCGCCAGACGCCCGACCCCGGCCGGCCTCCCCTCCCGGCCCGCGCTCACCACACCGCGCCATAGGCGCCCGAGCCCACGGGCTGCAGGTCCTGGTACACAGCGCGCACCTCCCAGGCCGTCTTGGTCACCTCCTGGCGGTAGAAACCCCTGCGGGCGGACGGCGGGGAGCTCATGGTCGGCTCGGGCCCCGCCCCGCCGCAGCCCCCGCTCCCGGGACTCTCCCGGCGCGCGCCCCCAGCTCTCCGCTCCGCGTTCCCCGGCCCGCCGACCCCAGCCCGGCCCGGCAGCGCGCGGCCCCTCCCCCGACTGCGGACCAACCGGCCCCAGGGCCACGCGCACGTGACTGCCCGCCCGCCCTCCGGCCCCTCCGGCCCCTGCGGAAACCGGAGGCGGTAGCTCGGGAGAGGGCCCCGGGCTGGGGGAAGGGCAGAGTGGGGAGGGAGCGCGCCCGCAGCTGGGTCCCGGCCGGGAACCGGGCGCGGGCCCGCCTCGACGCTCAGACTGCACTTCCCGGGCCCGTCGGGGTATCTTAGCAGGCGCCCCGACTCCTCACTAACCACTCCCCCAAGGCGCGGGCCCATCCTCTGCAGCCCTGATCCCCTGGGACTTCTATCCCCGGCCCCAAGCCGCTGTCCATCAGCCCAACTTACACCCAACTGGGTCCACAGTCCTGAGGTTCCAGGTCAACTCACCCGTCCCGCAGGAAGCCCCTTCCCCTGGGCTGATACAACCATCCCACAGCGTGGGGCTCCCCAGCACCTGCCCTGCCTGTATCCCCTTTTCCACGTGGGGGAGTTGGTTCTGTCCCCCAAACTTGGAGTACACGCTCAACACCCCCACCCCACCCCACCCGTGACCACTGACACCAGGCCTCCCAACCCCAGGAGGCAGAGCAGCGGTCCCGTAGGTTCCCTTGGGCCATGCACATCCCCCACCTCCCTCCTGTCACTCACCCCCCTCCATGTAGGGAGCCCACCCCGAGCATTTGCAAGTCCCACTGCCTGTCCCACCCCTGCCCGGCTTACTCCCTCCCTTTTGTCCTTCTAAGCTGGGCCTGAGCCTGCCTCTCCAGGAAGGTGTTTCTGACCCCAAGGGTGGAGGAGGGCCCTACTCCGGATCTCAGCGCCCCCTTACCCCTCAGCGGGGGCGTCATTCTTTCACGGGTTTGTCTGCATCCTGGACCAGACACTCCTGGAGGGCAGTGACCCCAGCCAGCCCCTCCATTCTCTTCTAGCCCAGGAACCCAGGTTGGAGAGGGAGTGGGGTCACAGGATCCCCATCCCCAGGGCCCCCGGCCCCACCCTCTCTGGTCTGCCTGCCATGAATCAGCAGCTCAGGCCCAGCCAGATCAGCTTTACACCTGTGCTGCCAGCTGGTGATCTGTGTGCCAGTAGTCAGTGGACACAGCCTGCGGTCACTGGAGCCACAGCTGCCTGAACCTCTTGCCCTTCAGGCCCACGGTGGCCCGTGGCAGTACACCTGCCTCCTCCAGAAAGCCCCAGCTGGCCCCCTTACTCCTCGGGGAAGGACCCAGCAGGTCTCCGTGTCAGACCTGACCCTGGGATGGGCATGTGCCAGGTCTGTTCCCATCCCCATCAGCACAGGACTTGGCCCAACCTGGCCTCTAGGGTTCCCCAGAACCTGAGGCCCAGTAGCCACAATGACCAGGTCTCTGGAGGTCCAACTCCCAGATGGTCTCTACTTCCCCGTAGGCTAAGGGCACAGGATGTCTGTGTCCTGGAGACACGCTGCCCGATCCCGTCGCCCGGGTCCTCGGCCCTCTCCCCACTTAACCAGGGAGGAAAGCTATTTCCCTCAGCCCACCACCCTGGGAGGGGCAGGCCTTTGCTCTCTGAGAACTCCGATTGTTCCCCAGCAGCTTCCCTGACCACTGAGCAAGGGGCAGGTCCGGCTCTGGTCCAGAAGTGGAACCTGCCTGGTGAGTCCTCTGCAAGGGCAGCCGGGTTGATCTGCGGGTAGCCATCACTCCCTGTCCCCCTCAGAGTCCACTGGCCTGGGTGGAGGACTCAGCCCACCCCACCCGCAGCCCCAGGCTACCTGAGTTCACAGGGAGCAGGGAGGGCGCTGTGCTAGACAGCTGCTTGTCTGACCGGGGGCCAAGGGACCTGGCCAGTGCAGGCATCTGGTGGGGCAGACCCGCAGGGGTGCAGTGACGTGCCCCCTCTCCCCAGGCATTGGGGACAGTGGGGCAGCAGAGCCTGGGATACAAGCTGAGCAAGAGGGAACCCCCTTTATTACAAAACCCTGGTGCAGGCACTTAACATTCAGAACTCCTTGAGTCATGCGAGGTGGGCGGTCACCATCTGACCACCTGACCGAGAAGCCCCTATGGGGCGGACTCACACCTCCATGTCTCAGGCAGGATGCTGTCCACAGCTCACTAGGGTGAGGGCCAACCCAGAGCCAGAGAGAGGGCAGAGGAGGAGCAGGCGGAGGCTCTTCATAAGCTCTGGGCCAACGTCCAGGTCCAGGTCCAGGTCCAGATCCGTGTGTGCTGCCCCCTTAGTGTCCTCAAGGCTGGATGAAGCCCCTGTGCCTGCTGGCTCCCCAGCTGACTCTGTGTTCTTATGCCTCAGGACCTGCTGCAGTCCCTATACCCAAGAAGGCCCCTTGCCCACCTAAGCTCCTCACATGGTGCACAGCAAGATCTCAGCACCCTCATGGCATCAGGAACTGGGGGGAGGAGAGCAACAGTACAGCCACCCCAACTGGGGCCTCCAGCTGGTCATGGCCACTGGCACTCAGGGTGCCCACAGATTCACACGTATGTGCACAGACCTGGCCATGAAGATACAGTACATGGTAGTGCACATGCCACACATGGCTCAGGGAACACGTGGCTCCAGGATGATTTTCTGATTTGACACCTGGTGGCTGTTCCTGCCCCGCCACTCCCCAAGGAAGACCCTGGCCAGCTGTCAGACCTTTGGGTCTCAGCATTTCCAAGGGGAAACTCTCACTTCCAGGCTGAGCAGCTCTGACCACTGAGACCCCTCCCTCCCTTTGGGTCTCTGCACGCCCCCCAGAGACAGCTCTCTGGGGCTGAGGCGATCTGGAGGCAGACGGTCCCCAAGAGGAGCCCTATGGCCTCCCAGCCCCCATGGTGAGGCCCCCAGGGAGACCCAGCAGCTGGAAGGGGGCGGGAGGACCAAGGGAGTCCAGGACGCTGGCCCGGACTCCAACACCCACGGCTCGCACATGCGCACACTTTCATGAGTTCACATGCATACATGGACTGCCCTTAAGGAGCGGTGTGCAGATGAGAGGTCCCGGGCCAGGGACCAGGGCTGCCAGCCATCGTGGTGTTGGGAGCCACCCTGTGTGGGAACCTGGCAGGCCGAGAAGGGCACAGGCAGAGTAGGCCCCTCCTTGCATCCATGCGCCGGGGGCAGCACCACGCTCACTGCTCAGGGCCCAGGTTGCCAGGCGGCTTCGGTGGTTCTGGGGGCTTAAAGCTGAGGACTTCCTGGTAGGTGAGCTCTGGGGGGTGAGGGCAAAGGGTGAGGTCAGGCTGCCAATGGCCCAGTGCCCACACCCAGCTGTCTTGTGTCAGCCTCCTGGCCCAGACCCACCACCCTCTGAGGGCAGCCTGGGCTGGTGCTGCCTGGAGCCTCTGCTGGGCACACCCAGCCCCACCTCTGCCTGCCCCACCCTGGAGTGGGGGGGTGTTGTCCTGCCCCCAGGCCCACCCTTCCACTCGGCCATGGGGCGCTCCTTGGCCTCCTCGCCCTCCTCATAAGGCTCAGCTTCGGGCTCATCATCTGGGTCGTGGTACTGGCTGAAGTAGGCGTGGGCCAGGGCCTCGGCTGCACTGACCCTCTGGTCGCTGTCCAGCACCAGCATCCTTCCCAGGAGGTCCACAGCTGCAGAGTGGCCATAGGGGGAGATCAGCTGCACATCCAGGGCCAGACATGAGCCCAGCCCAGCCCCTGGGCCCATCCTCACCCAGGGGGTTGGCTCCGTGGAAGATGCTCCTGAGGTCCTTCTGGGGCATGGGGGGCAGGGACTGGATGTATGTCCGGGCCTGGGGGCACATGGGAAGGACCTGGGCGGACTGCTCAACCCCTGCCTCCCCAGTACCAGGCTAGGCAGGGGCTTCAAGCCCGGCAGGCGCTTGCCGAGAGAAGCTCCCAGACTCATTCACACCAACAGGCCTGGGCACGAACAAGCACAGACCTGACGTCCCCCGCTTGGATCTGGGCCTGGAGCCGCCCACCACCCTTGGCCAGGCCACTCTTGGTTGACGCAGCGGCTTCACCCTCACTTCCTCGTGCCAGGAACGCCTTCCTTGCTCTCCTGTTCCCCCTGAAGGGTCAGGCGCCTGCCCTGGACTCTAGTTCACTGTGCGACCCACGCTCCCCACATGGCGCTGGATCTGTTCCCACACTGCCCCTTCCTCCAGGGTGCCTGGGGGCTTGGTCAGCAGAGGGAGCCAGTGGCTGGTGACTCACGTGTTCCGAGGATATCTTTGCCAGAACCTCAGGACTGGGTGTGCCCACCACCTCCATGATGCGCTTCAGCTGGTCAATGTCTGCCTGGCTCAGGAAATGCCCACTGGCCAGGCAGAGACCCTTCCCAGGCCCCCAGATCTTCAGGGCACTGCCCAGAACCTGCTTTTCTACACCTGGGGAAGGAGGTACAGCCCAAGGAGGTACCGCATGGGGCAGAGGAGGCAAGACTGGCCAGAAAGGGCCAGGGCCCACTTCTCTTGACCTCCACCCACAAGGGGGGACCCTGGCTCAACCCTCCTCCCCAACCTGGGCCAAGGATACAGTCACTTCCTGGGAAGAGAGCCTTACCCTGGAGCAACTCGGCCATGATGCAGCCCACGGACCATATGTCCACTGTTGGGGGAGGGGATACCATCAGTCTGCCCACCCCATGTCCCTCCTGGGAGAACTGGGGGCAGCCTAGGGTCCCCTCTGTCACAGCTGGGCCCACAGATTTCCTCCTCTAGACTGACCCTAGGCAGGTGGAGGAGTTAGCCCAAGACACACCATGTTGTGGACCTCTCAGGGTTTGTATTTTAATTCTGGCCCCAGACTGTGTCTAATCCCCCAAGACAGGGCACCCTCCCAGGCCCTTTTGTGAGCTGGCCTGCCTGCCCTGGCCCCATTACACAGCTGCCCCCATATAGGTTGATACTACCTGTCTGGTTGTAGTGCATCCAGTTGAGCATGATCTCAGGTGCACGGTACCAGCGTGTAGCCACATAGCCAGTCATCTCCTCATCAGCCTGGCGTGCAAGCCCAAAGTCCAGAATCTAGGGTGACCACCAGGGTTGTCAGCATCCCCACATTCCCCTCCCCGCTGCCTGTGGTCCCCCACCCCTGGCGCTCACCCTGAGCTCACAGTCCTCATTCACAGCCACGTTGCTGGGCTTCAGGTCCTGCAGGGCAGGCAGGTGTGAGCTCAGGAGTTGCCCAGCCTGGCTCTGCAGCGGCCTGGCACCACACTCAGCCAGCCAGCCGACCGCACCTACCCGATGGATGATCCCCGCTGAGTGGATGTACTGAGGGGAAGACCATGGGGTGTCAGGTCCGGCAGCAGACCCCACCCCACCCACCTGCCCCCGCACCCACCTTCAGCCCACGCAGCAGCTGGTACACGAGGAACTGGACGTGCTCGTCACTCAGTGCCTGGCACTTGACGATGCTGTTCAGGTCAGCGCCCATCAGAGTGGTCACCAGGTACCTGGGTGTGGTCAGGGGTCAGCACGTAGCCCCACGCCCTGTCCCACACATGCTCCCGCCGCAGCACATGCTCACACTTCGCTGAAGTCCTCGATGGACGTGGCCGGTGTGAACACATCCAACAGTCCAATGACCTGAGTCAGGAGAGGAGTCAGGACTCGGTGCCTCATCCAGAGCCCCAGGGGAACCCTGCCCGCCTGGCTGGCCGTGACCCTCACGTTCTCATGCTTGAGGTGCTTGAGCAGCCGCAGTTCTCGGTATGTCCTCCGCGCGTGCACTGGTGACTGAAAGGGTCTTGACAGCTTCTTCACCGCAACCTGCTGGCACAGCCGTGCGTCATAGGCAGAGCTGCAGGTGGCCAGAGAGTGAGGCCCATGAGGGAGGCAACCCCCCCGCATTTACCCCAGCCTTCCCAGGCCACAGGGCCCCGTCCTGCCCCACCCAGGAGACCCAGGGCAGAAGCTGGATCTCCCTGCTTCCTTGCTCCTATGACTCTAACCCCCAGCTCAGCACAAGGCCAGGGGGAGTCTCTATCAGCCCCAGCAAGCGTCTTCCTGCTACCACCTGGGCTATGGGTCTAGGCGGCTCCCTCAGGGTTCCAAAGCTGACTCCAAGCCCCTGGGCCCCCAATGCCTCTGAATGTTCAAAATATTGAGGAAAAGCTGGGCAAAGGTGTTTACCGCATCAGTATTTTTAACAGTGAGAAACTGGACAGCAGGAAATGTCCAGCAGAGGGTGATGTCCAGACCCACAGACTAGACTATCCACCCTTGCCCAACCACACTCCCCAGAGGTCCAGATCCTCTGCCTCCATACCCCATCTACTCTTCACAGGGCAGGAGACAAGGGTCACTGGCTTCCTCTTCAAATGCAAATGGTCCAGTCACCCTGTCCCCAAGGTCCCACCGCTCTCGGAATCAGGCCCAGCTTAAAGGCAATGCCTCTGCACAGGCTGCTGCCTGCAGCCACTGCTCCTCGTGCCCCCACCTTCACCTCCTGTCCCTGGAATCCTGCCCTGGAAGCAGACCCTGTAGGACCCGGGATGCTCGTGGGCCCAGGTGGTGGTAGAGGAAAGCCAGCTAAGTGCCTGGGGTATCCATGGCCCCCCGCCCCCAGCCAAGGGCCTGATGGAGAAGGTCCACGTCACTCCTGGGGTGGGAAGCAGGGGCACGGTCCTTCATGTGGGGCAGCAAATCCTTTTCCCTGACTGCCTCTTGGCAGTCAGAAGACAGGGATAGTAGCACTGGGTTGTCAGCCTTGTCAGAAGAATGTAGGAGCCCAGGAGAAGACCATCACCTGCACAGGGGCCATGCAGACTAGGTGCAGGGGAGAGAGATGGGTGTCTCTTGAGCTTGGTACTCCCTAGGAACTCCCAAAAGGTGATTCTGGGCCAGAAGTGAATATAGCAAGGGCTGTCAGATCTCCAGGGTATCAGGGTGTGGGCGGGGCACTCACACAGCACACATTGCCCCTCTCTTCCTGCCCTAAAGTATTAGAAATGAAGACACAGGCCTGAGGATGGAATGGCTGAAATGACCTGAGGTTTCTGAGGGCTGGTGAGTGACACCATGAGGTCCGAGGCCTCGGGGACCCCAAACCCCTGCTCCAGGCTCCAGAGCTGGGCCTCGGTAGGTGCTCCGGAGAAGTCCACTCTTCAACTTCTGCCAAAGCCTGCAACAATGCCCCACCCCTGGGCGCCCCTGCCCCTGCCTCCCCACCCTCAAGGCTCCCTCTGGACATCAGCCTTCTGGCACCAGCCTCAGTAAGGACCCCACGGAAGGGGCTGGGGGGTAATTTTCAACATCCACACCTGACATCAGCCTCATTGTTATTGCGACTACAACCAGGGTTCCCTGCAACCACCTCCCCATTTGGCCCCAGTAGAACCCCGACCCTCCCCTGCCCTTAGATACCCTGTGGGCAGGCTGTCCGGGCCCCATGGCCTAACTTCAGGGCGCAGTGATCTCAGCTCTCTTGGTTAGGGCTGGGTGGGATGCAGACCCTCCTAGGATTGTAGGGGGAATGGCAGGCGTCTCTGCTCACACCTAAGTACATCCGGTGTCTGAGACACTAGCGAAAAACCAGGAGAAGGCAGGACCCATGGGGTTCTTGAGGCCATTCAAAGGGAGGGGTCCTGCTCTCCCTACAGAGGAGCTCCTTTTTCCGAACAAAACTACCCGCCTAGGGCAGGGGCAACTGCCAGACCCGGAGGCTGCCTGACCCTTGGCCGGGGCACCTCGAAAGCGTGGTGCGATATTTAGGGGGCCGGGAGACTCGCCCTCTCGCCGGCTGTGACGCCGCAGTATTAAAGGCCTGATGGGGGACGCACCGGATTGGACCTGGCGGGACGACGACCCCTCTCTATGCCCCGGGCGGCCTCGGTGGGAAAGTTTCTCCTTCGCGCCCCCCTTCCGCCTCCCCTAATTCATTCTCGGGATCCGCGTCGGGCTGGGGGCGGAGACAGGCCGAGGCCCCTCCTCACTCGTGAACCCCGCTCCGGGCGGGGTGGGGGCGCGCACAGTCCCGCCCGGCCCCTGCGCCCGCCCCCCACGCCCGCCCCTACCAGACGGAACCGTAGGCGCCCGAGCCCACCGGGCGCAGCCCCTGCAACCGCTGCGGCACCTCCCACACCGTCTTGTTCAGCTCCTGCCGGTAGAAGCCGGCGCGCGGGCCCGACATGTCTGGAGCGGCCGCCGCCCGGCCCGCGGCCCACGCCCCCTCCCCGGCCGCGCCCCGCCCCTGCCGCGCCGGAGACCGAGCCGAGCCGAGCGCAAGGAGGGCGGCAGGATGAGGAGGCGGCGGCGGGCGGGGCGGGGCGGAGCGGGGCGGGGCGGGGGCGCCGGCAGACAAACGCGCGGCTGCTCGGCCCTCCGAGGCGGCGGCCGAGCGGAAACCAGCCCTCGCCCTGGGGGGCGGGCCCGGGGGGAGGGGCGGCCGGGGCCCGCGCCCTGCCCCGCTCGCTCCTAACGCCTGGGGTCCACGCGCGTTTCCGCACGCCCGCGGTGTTCCGCTCTGGGCCCGGGCACCGCCCGATCCCGGCCGCCGCTGCCGCCCCCGCTGGGATCGGCTCCCCGCGCGCCCCCCTGCCGGCGCCGAGCCCGCACCCCCAGTCTCCCCGTCGTCTTCCCCTGCGCCCTTCCCGCCGCCACCTCTTGCATGTACAACCCCCTTCAGCCTGCTCGGTTCCCCACCCGCTCCGGGCCCTGAACCCTCTCCCCCAGCCCGCTCCCCCAGAAATGAAGTAGAACCCTCAAAAATCAAAGCATCCAGGGGCGGTCGATGGGATTTCCATCAAGACAGAATGCCACCTAATGCAAACCGGGCACTTGGTTGGACAGGCCCTCTGCGGCGAGCCTATGGAGGCGCCTTGGACGCCTGGGTAGCCTGGAGGCCTAGCCTGGACGGTGTGCACGCCTCCTGGTAACCTGATGTCGGCCTCGCCCCGCGCTGGCCCCCGCTCGGCCCTCCTCTTCGAAGTGTGGCCGCAGGCCAGGCCTGGGACCAGCCGTGTCAGGACCAGGGACAGCGGCGGCTCCGGTTGAGGTGGGGCGGGGTGAGCTGGTGGTAGTGTTCCCTTAAGACGCTGTCCCTGAATGGGTCTTCTGTGGGACCTGTACCGTCCCTCCTTCCGAAACAGTCCCCAGCCGCCCGCTCTGGCTTCCCCGGTGGTGAGCAGCCCCTCCCAGGCGCGGCCGCGGAGGTCCGGTTCCCGCAGGCGCCCTACCGTGTCCGCCTAGCGCGCTGCGCCCGCCGTCTACTCTTCCTCTGACTGTACGGTGACCAGGGTTCGGAGAGCACTGCCCCCCAGACAGACGTCCCCTGACCCTGTGCTCTGCGGAGCCCTGATGAGTGGCTGCGTCGCCCCCTCCCAGGAAAGTGGGAAACAGGTTCTGAGTTGCCGGCCTCCGGTTCTTCGAAACAAACTAGTATCTGAGTTTTTAATATGAATCCCCTTATTTTAAAGTATTAGCAACCCAATAAAAATTAACATGTGTCAAGCAGTAGCGGGCAAACGGACGCATCTGGGCGAATGAGGCCACCGGCCACCCTCGCGTACCCTAGAAGCCAAGTCTCGAACCGCCCCTGGCCGCAGTTTCCCCTCTGGGAGCCAGTGTTGGCCGGGCAGTGACGGACCAGGGACCTGCCCTGGGGCACCTTGCACAGGCCCGGGGCGGGCCGAGCTTTGCGCGGAGTTGATGGGAATTTCAGCTAAAGCGCCAGTGGGGAGGGAGCGGAGCTGCGGGCAGCCAGCGGCGTTGGTCTGCGCCGGCAGGTGGGCAGGTGGGCCCGGGTCGTGTTCCCAGGGCAACAGGCCTCGCCCCTGCTGGCGTTGGGGGGATGCGAGGGGACCCCTCCGACCTCTCCCGAATCCCCGCTGTGAGCGGTTAGAGGAGTGGAGAGCTGGGCCTCCCTGCCTGGCTCAGCCAGCCATGCAGGGTGGAGTCTCCCCTTGACATTCGCCTGTGTGCCCACCCAGCCTCAGGCCCACAGGACTCTGCCACACTGCCCCTGGGCAAGGTCAGCTCATCATACTGCACACCAGTGACCAGGAGTTTCTGGCAGGGGGGCAAGGACAGGACTAGACAGGTCCGAGAAGCTCCACACAGGTGGCACCAGTAGGCTGGGCCTGCCTCTAAGACTGAGCCTGACACAAGCAACAGGGAGGAGGGTGGTGGCCCGGGCAGGAAGGCAAGGCAGGTAGGGCAGGGTGGAGATCTCCGGACCTCAGATCTTTACTCTCAGGCTGATGGGCTGCTGCACAGGGCAGTTTCACAGCACTGTCCTGGCCCCCAGGTCATGTCCTGGGGCGCAGACTGAGCCTGTGAAGGGGTTTGCACGGAGGGGACCGCAGCCAGGAGTGAGGACGGGCAGGACCACCCTACCCAGGTCCTTCTCAGCCCTCTCCTGTGATTCTGTCACTCCTCAGCATCAAGATCCCACCCCTTCTCTCCACGTCTCTGGTCCCCCTGCACTGACCCAGGCCACCCCCTTTGTGGTCCCATGCTGGTCTCCTGGGGACCATTTCTCCCTAAGGTCAGAATGAATTTCCTGAAATGCTAATCTGGCCTGTCTCAGGCCCAGGTGATTTAGCGGAGGGTTCATGCTCTTAACCACCAAGCAGGGTGCGGCCTGTTTTCTGGAAGTCAAGGTCGTCGAGGCTGTCCTGCCCTCCCGTCCCTGCCTTCCTTCTCCCACTCCCTGGGGAGGAAAATAAGTGGAAAGCAACAGGAAGGGCATGACACCCCTTGGCCTCAGCACCCTGCCTGACACCGTGCACCCCAGCATCCACACCCAACTCCTATCCTTCACTGGCACCATGTAAGGACAGCCCCAGGGCCCCTTCACACTTCTGTCCTCTAAAGCAGGGAACCCCATCTTTTGAACATGCAGCCCTTCCCCTAGCTCCAGGGTCCCCAGAGTAGAAGGGGTTCTCGTGGACTCTTCCCCTCTCTTTGCCTAGCTACCCAGTGATGGGGGGTGGAGGTTGGCAGTAGTGGCCTGCAGGGCCTCAGTTCCTGCCTCACCCCCATGGAACCCCCAGCTCAGCATTCCCAAACTGACCCCCCTGCTCTGGCTTGCACCTTGTTCAGATTTCCTAACCAGCTGGGTCTCTGAGAAGGGGAAAGCCTAGCGTGGGCCTCAGCAGTGTCATTTCAGGGTCCCTGGGGTAGAGGAGGTCAGCTTTTCCCCCTTTCCATGTGGCTTGAATGGGGCTGCCCCAGTGCACAGGTGCTTCATCGTCAAGGCCTAGACCACTGAGACTTCCCAGCTGCCCAGGCTGGGGCTGCCAGCTGACAGTGGCTCTGCTGAGGATAAGGCAGCACATGCTGGGAGACAGTTCAGAGAGATGGAACCCAAAGACATGTGAGCACCTGGATCTAGCCAGACCTGAAGCTGGATATCACCATGCTCCTTGTTATGGAGGCACTAAATTCTTATGCTTGGATTGGTATTCTTGAGCACAAAGGCTCCCTGAGGGCAGGCCCTGTCTACTGCCAGCCACATGCCTAGTGCCCAGCACAGTACATGCTGAACGGATGAAAGCCAGACATGCTGATGCTGTGTGCATACACATGTGTGCCTGCTGGATGCAGGGTGGCACATATAGTGGCTCCTGCCCTGTTTGCAGCATGGGGACTGGAAGCAAACCTCCTCCAACCGTCACCAGGTTCCCGGATGACTCCCTACCTCTGGCATCAGCAAAGGTGCCACTCACTCTCAGGTACACAGCCCTTGAGTCCTACTGATGTCCTGAGTCATCCTGGGGTGGTTTATGGACCAAGGAGCCAACCCTAAAGGCCCCACAGCTTTGGGTGGGGGGGTCAGAGCCTTCCCAGAGCCATCCCAGGGTCCTGTGGGCTCTGTACACAGTAATGGCTTACTAAATGAATGCTGAGGGGCCATGCCCATGAAGCATCCCTACCTTATAAAGGAGGAAACAGGTCCTGGACAGCTCAAGGTTCAGTGGGCTCAGACCACACCCCACCCCTGCCCCAAGACTCCTAGTGGCCCAGCCCAAGAGGAAGGGCGGCAGGGGGCAGTGCAGCCACCAGATGGAGCCTGGGCCAGCCCAGTGCCCCTGCCAGGCAGGGCCGCCCCCTTGCAGCTCTGCGCCCACGGTCACTGTGGGCCGCAGGGCAGCCTTTCCATGCCCAGGCCTCGGCTCCCAGTCCCTGGCCATCCTGTTCTCTGGGGTAGCAGGGAGGGTGTGTGCTCAGCTCATCTGATGGCTGAGGGGGGCTGCAGCTTCAGAATCCCCCGGCCAGACCCCAGCACAGGCCTGGCCCCAAGGGGCCAAGGACGGTGCAGTGGGGGGTTCGAGGCCACACGTGCCTACCAGAGGGCGAGACTCCAGCTAGGGCCAGTGTCCAGGAAGATAGGCCGTGAGCAGGACGGGCCCAGGAATGGGCAGGGGCAAGCGAGCCGGGGTGGCAGGTCAGCAGCCCCAGGAGAAACCCAGCCAACCGCAGAGTGAGAAAGACGGCTGTATTTGATTTACAATTAACAAGATTTACAAAAGGGGATTAGGGTAGGGTGGCCCTAGTGGAGCTGCTCCTGGCACACCCAAGCCTGGGCCGGGCCTCCAGGTCAGCCTGTCTGACAGGCCGTAACCAGAACCCCTCCTGCTGGGGCCCCTCTGGCCACCTGGGCCTCGACGTCTGACGTCCAGCTTGACCTTTGAGGTGGGGCCCACAGCACAGAGTCCACCCAAGTGCTGGCACCCTGCAGAGCAGGCCAGGTGAGGTCAGGAAAGCATCGTACCTTTTCTCATCCCATCCAGGTGGGGCAGACGTGACAGTCTGGTCCAGGCCCTAGGGGCCACAGGCACTCAGACCTCCCCCCAGAGTCCAGGCCCATGGATCTGAGGTGGCTGCTGGTGTTTGGGAAGTGGAGGCTGAGGCCCAACTGCCCCCAGCAACCTAGCGTGGCGCCAGGGCATAAGGCACATTCGCGAATCACTCAGGAGGCTTGACGCAGAGCACCCAATGCTGGTTCTGGAGGAGGGAGCTGGTGCTGGCACGCCACGAACTCCAACGTGGGGGTTCCCCTGGTGCACCCACACTCAGATGCAGGGGCTCCTCCTCAGCTAGCAAGAGAAAAGGGCTGAGCCCCACCAACTCGGCCTCATTTCCCAGGGGCTGCCTGACACTGGCCATCACACACCTGTGCCAGAGACTGTGGTGCCAGAGGTCAGAGGTTAGAGGTCTGTGACCTTGTTCTCAAGTGCAGCCGCAATCTGCTGCAGGCGGAAGGCCAGCTGCATCTTCTGGGCGGCGGGATCCTCCTCCAGGGCGTTGATGATCTGAGGGTGGGCAGTGTCAGGCCCAGACCAGGGGAGGAGGCTGCCCGAGCTGCCACCCTGGGGGAGGACTGGACCTCCTACCTCATCATAGTACTTCTGCGTGTACTGGTAGAGCTGGTGCAGGGCCACAAGGGTGTTCAGGGAGTCTGTGTGTGCCTGCAGGGGGAGGCAGTGTGACCCTGCAGGCAGGAGGCTGTCCCCCAGTGGGGAAGTGTGTTGTGACGTGTTGTCACGGGCAAAAGGAGACACAAAGGGTCACAGACACACGCTGGCCTCAGACAGGTACCCCCCCAACATCCACTGAGACGTGGCAGGCAGCCGGCTCAGCCCCCTGCTCACCAGCCAATCCACCTTGCACACATGCTCACACACAGGTCCCAGCCCTTCTGGGCCCACCCTCTGCTTCTCTCCTGTGGGCATGACCTTACCCAGCCCAGCACTGCAGCCTCCTGCCCTGCTCAGCAAGGGGCTTTGGGAGAGGTTCGGGGGGTGGCTCAGCCCTGGGAGGGTCAGTTGGTGCGTCCCCTGTGGGGCCCTTACCCGGGAAATCTCTGCTAAGTGTGTATTCATGTCCTGGTCGCTGACCTGCACCATCTGCCTGATCCCCTTGTAATAACTGTGGGGAGAGTCGGTTGGGGCAGGAGGTTACAAGAGACAGCGGGGCAGTGGGTCTGAGGGTGGACCCGAAGCTGCCCCCACCAGGGCCCTCCCCCCAGTCACAGGCATGAACCGCCCCCAAGGGACCCACAGGGTGGGGTCTGGCCTGGTGGCGGGCAGCACTCACGCTTCCACCATCTTCTTGTAGGTAGAGATCTCCTTGGCGTAGAGCAGCTTGTTGCTGGGGGAGTCCTATGGGGGTCAGAGCTGAGTGATGCCCAGGGAAGCAGGGCTGGCTGGCGCCCCTGCCCTCAGCCCGATGGAGGCAAGTTCACACCCACTCAGGACCCCAGAGAAAGGAGGGGTATTTGGGGCTGGGATCCAACTGGGTTGCTCCTCCTGCCCAGCTACAGACTGAGGGGGCTCCCAATGCTGTCAATTTCTCTGCCTGAGTAAAAGGGGTCCCACAGGAAAGAAAGGGTGGGGATCCCAGCTGCCTCAGGCCCTCTGCCTCCCACATCCCTGGTCGACTTACACCTGCCTTTTTCCGGAGCTCCAGCCCCAGATATGCAAATTCATACCACAAACTTCCGGCACGTCCCAAACTGACTTCCTCACCCCATCGTGCCTGCAGTTTCCCAGGCCCGTCACTCACCCCACCCCATGGGCACGCCCCTCCAGCCCCTCCACGCCTCCTGGGCGATGACACACTTCTCCCCACCCTGCCAGTGCTGCCTTCAGGGTCCACTCACACGGCTCAGTTTGTGCTCTGTGCGTGTGCAGGCATCCATGAAGGTCTGTGCGATGACCGACAGGGAAGCGTCCACCACCTCATGAACGTGCACGTCAAAGATGAAATGGGGGTTCTTGAGGATGTTCACCCAGAACCGGAGCGGTAAACTGCAGTAGAGCGGCAGGTAGTGAGGGGCCATGAGGCCCCATGCAGGGAGGCAGCGGGGAGAAGGGGCCCCCACCTGTTGGTCTTCCAGATGTGGATGGTGTCTTCGTCCTTGATGTCATGTTTCTCCGCCTGCTCATCCAGGAAGTCGAAGAAGTACTTGACGGCAGGCGGCACCGCGTGCCCGGGTGCCAGCACACTCTGGAAGAAGTTGTCCACAAACTGCTGCAGCGTGCCCTGTGGGGGCAGAGGGGGGTGCACAGGCTGGCTCAGCACGTCCCCGGGAGCGGCCCCAGGCCTGCCGTGCGCCCAGCGCAGCCCACCTTGACGGACAGCAGGCGGGTCAGGTAGAGCTCGGTGATGGCCTTGGTGCGCTCTTTCTCCTTCACGCTGCCCCGCTTGGACTTGCCTTCATCCACCTCATCTGCCGGCCTCACCAGGTGCCACACGCGGTTCTCCTCCTCCAAGAGGGCATGGCCTACAGGGAGAGGGGACCACGGGGCTCAACAGCTCCCCCAGATGACAGCACAGGATGGACACTATCCACGCTGACCTCCAGAGGCCTAACAGGACACGAGGAAGGGACTCACGCTCCCCAGGCAGGTCCTGCTGGCTGTCCTCGGGCTGCTGGGAGACCCCCACCTTGGACAAGATGAGAGTGGCTCCATCCCGGACCTGGGGAACGCGGTCATGAGAGCTAGCCTCGCTCCCCATTCCAGGCAGGGAGTGCTGCCCCCAGGCCCAGCCACCCACACTCACATTGTAGTGCATCAGGGTGTTGATGCGCTTCCAGCGGCCTTCCCGCTGAGAGGTCAGGTCAAGGTCTGACAGAATCTGGGCTGTAGACCCAGGACGCCACTCTGCAGGAGGACACAGCCCAGTTCTGGGAGCCCGGCCACAGACTGCCCTACCTAGGCTCTTTCTCTGTCCCCCAATCCCACCTGCCCGACCAAGGCCCTGAAGGCAGACCACTCCCCAGGGCACAGAGCCAGGCACACAGGAACCATGCTCACCGAGGACCACACTGTCAACCTTAGGCCAGCGAGAGCAGGGCTGTGTGCGGTACACCTGGTCAATGATCTTCTCCTTGACCTGGGAGATGGTGTCACAGTTGAGGACCTTGACAGGGATGGCATCAACCCCTTCATCCTGGACGATCACGCTCACTGTCTGCAAGGGAACATGGCATGAAGAGCAGGCGAAGGAGCCCTCAGTCTCACACCCTCAACCCCTGATGTGGGGGCAGCCTTAGGCCACCCTGCAAGGCTGCACCCTCGGGTAGAGAGGCGAAGGGAGGGCTCTGGGCCCCTGCAGTGCCCAGGGAGGCCTGGCCTCACCCGCCTCTGAACACCTGACTCAATAGGACAGAGAGTGGAGACTCGGGGGCCTCTGGCTCAGCAATGGCTCACTCTAGGTAGTCCAAAAGCGTTGCAGAAGCACACGCACAGATTATACACTGCCTGTCCATGAGCGCACAAGCTCACCACCACACACGTGGGGTGTACTCAGGCCCCCTACACATGCCTGCAGCAGCCCTGCATGCATGGGAGGCAGCTGGCTCAGGCTTACAACATGCAGAGCCCTCATCCACAGACACCATCAGGGCCTGATGCCTGCTAGGTTCCATGACCCAGGCCTCTGGAACCTGGCCCAAGGGGGTCCTGAAGCCCAGCTGGCCCCTGGACTCACCAGGGGCGCATATTCCACATCGTCCCCCAGCAACCCTGTGTCGTTGAGGGTGTACTTGGCCTTCTTCTGAACAGCGTCCACTGGTCCCTTCTCCACCTGATGCTTAATGGCCTTGAAGAGCTTGTACAGTGGCTCGCCGGCACTGTCCTGGAGCAATGCGAAGCAGCTCAGCCACGGGCGGGTGGTGAGGGGCCAACATGCCATGGCAGAAGCAAACCCACACAGGTGGGACCAGGCCCATCTGGAGGTGCTGCACGGGCAGGCAGACTTTGGGGGACAGCACCACCCTGACCCTCTCCCACCCCTGGTTGGGCCACATGGAGCCCACCTTGAGATACTGGTATAGGCAGATGGACATCCAATTGGACAGCATCCTCTCCACCACCGTCTCAGACCTAGAAGTGCGGAGAGGCCCTTGTACCAGGGACCTCTCATTGCCCCTAGGCCTAGCTCACTCACAAGCACCAGCCCGCCCTCCCCAGCCAGGCCCTGGGTCCCTATTAGGATGCACAGGCATGGCCTGTAGGGACCAAGCACCCAGCCCCCAGGAGGATGGTTGTATTATCTCCTACCCCACCCTACAGAGGGCAGCAGCTGACCAGCAGAGACCTGCTGTCAGGGACCCCAGCCCCTGCCGGCCCTCCTCCCCATTCATCTGCATGGTGGGCCTGCTGGCAAACCCAGCGGCCAATGAGCCATGTGCGGGCACCGCCCGCCCGCCCGCCCCGCCCCAGTCCCCCACACCTTCGCAGCATCAGCTTGGGGTTCTTGGCCACCACGTATTGCTCCATGAGCTCCAAGAAGAGCGTGCGCATGATGTCCGTGTAGTACTCCAGCTTCCCGTGCAGAGCCACCGTCAGCAGCGATGCAAAGTAGACCTTGGCGCGGGCCGAGAACTCGCGCTGGTTCTCCAGGGTGTGGATGAACTGTGCGGGGGCGGGTCAGTCAGTCAGGGCCCGGCCCCGCCCCTGAGGGCCCAGTCCCCGCCCAAGACCCACCTCCCAAAGCCCAGCCTGCGGCCCCGCCCCGCCCCACCGCCCCCGCGGCGCGGCCCGCTTACATTGACGAGGAAGGACTTGCTATTGAGCAGGTTGGAGAACTGGTAGAGCGCCTGCTCCACCACGGGCCTCCGCGACTCGGGGATGTCCAGCTTGCCCGTGATCATCACATCCTTGTCGCCATCCTTGGAGGGCAGGAAGAAGACGCGGTCGGTGTAGGTCTTGTAGTCCAGCACAGGGATGCCTGCCTCATGCACGTCGCTAGTCTGGTCCTCCATCTCGATCATCAGGTCTGCGGGGAGGCTGTGGTGAGGCCCCCGGCCGCTCGCCCTCCTCCCTCTGCGTGCGGCCCGCCCAGCCCTGGCCCCTACCGGTGAACTCCTTCTTGCAGCGGTCCCGCACGCTCTCCTCCAGGCCCTCCAGCTGGGACTTGATCTTCTCGTACTCACGCTCCGCCTGCTGGCTCTTCCTCCTGGGGGCACAGGAGGCTCCTAGGACCTGGCCTGGGTCAGGCCTCCTGGTGCTGGGCTGTGGGCATGTCCAGAGGGCGCGGGCGAAGTGAGAGGGGCTCACCAGTAACAGTACACGGACACTGCGATGATGGCCACCATGGGGACAATGACCAGGGGCAGGATGAGGCTGAGCGGCACGTCACTCACACGTGTGTCATACTCCACACGGCCCAGTACCCACTCCCGCGAGCCGAACTTCACCTGCACGGAGGGGTGGGCTCAGCACAGAGGGGTGGTTAAGCCCCAGAGCCAGTGCCCCCTGGACATCCGACCTTGCTCACTGGAGCCCCTGCCCTGTGCCCCCTCGTCCTCCCGTGGGCAGAGCCTCAGCACCCCCCACGCACAATGAACTCAGGCAGGTTGTGTGTTGTGTCCCGCTTCTGCCGCCGTTTTGGGGGGGGCTGCACCTCCGGGGGCTCGCAGTACAGGTCCGTCTCCGTCAGGGTCTTCATGACGCAGCGCTCAGCGCCCACGAAAGCCTCAGCCTCGTGAAGCGTCATTGCCTTGTTCAGATTGGTGCCCTGTGGGGGGGCGAAGGCCACAGTGACCAGGAGGGTTGGGGACACCTGGACCAACAGAGCCCAGGCTTGGGGCTGTGGCCCCACACCACCTGGTCAGGGCCCGACCCCAGGCTGTAGGCCCGAGCCCGAGCGACGGCCAGTCCTCACCCGTGCATGGATGAGCTTGTTGACCTGCTTCTTGACACCTCCTGTGAAGTTCTCAAAGGTGGGGTCAGCCACGTACTCAAAGGCGCCGGCCTCGGACCTCAGCAGGGCACGGTGCCCATCCATTTGAATAAGTGCTGTGAGGTTGTAGGCCTCAGGCTCCTCAGGGACCGCCGGGGATGAGAACACGACCTTGGAGTCGTTGTAGAACACATACTCCGAGCCCACAACCTATGGACGGGGGCAGGGTTGTCAAGGCCATTTGGCATAAGCCCATCTCTCCCCACACATCTCCAGAAACTGTAGCAGAGCTGCAGCCCAGGCGGCCCCAGCACTGACCGTCAGGGGCCGCAGGGGGCCGGCCTCCCGCCGCCGCCGCCAGGTCTGCAGGGGCTCCGCTATGACCACCATGGCGAACCTCTGGATCAGGCTGAAGCCAAGGCCCGTGACGCTGATGCTGCGGCCGCCACTAGGGGTGGGGGTGGTGCCTGAGTGGGCACCCCTGGGCAAGGACGTGCCAGCTGCCTCCAGACCAGGTGCCTGCAAGGCTGTGCCCCCACCCCCAGCTCCCCACCGCAGGTCTGGCCACGCAGCAGGCTTGTAGAAGGCAGAGACTATAGAGTCCCTGACCCCATCTGCTTTGGGTATGTATCCATGCAGGTCTATGTGAACACAGGCCTGCTGCAGGATAGGGGACACGCTCGGGACACGCTCAGGACACGTGACTCTTGAGCACTCCCTTTCTCGCTTGTCAGAAGCAGAGTTGGAGGGGCCATGGGACTGCCCATCCGGGTTTCTAGGAGGGGCTGATTCGCTGCGGTGGGGTTTTCCGGAGGCTGCCTCCTGCTGCGTAGACCAGCCCCACCACATCCTCACAAGCCCAGTGGACAGAGGTGAGCACCTGGTAAGCACCTGAATGGGTGGGTGTGGTATGGGTCCCAGGCTGGGGCAGGGGGGGGGTTGGCACTGGCCAGGGAGGGGAGAGAAAGGCCCCACCTAACGAAGCTCCGCAGTGGCACGAATGCTTTCAGCACGGGGTTCTCGCGGTAGGTGAAGGTGACGCCAGGGCTGGGCACCTGGGAGCCCCCATAGTAGATCTGTAGGGGCAGCTCCTCCAGAGTCGACTGGGGGCCGGTGACACACTGGAGCTGTGCCCCAAACTGCGTCCTGAGGAATGGGGGTGGCCAGATCAGTGGGTCAGTGGGTCAGGTTGGTTTCACTGCCTCCTCAGGGGCAGACTAAGGGTCATGGCCCCAGAGCCCCGAACCCTTCCCCAGTACCAGGGCAGACCAGAGGTTTGCCAGCCTTCTGGTGACACCCACACTTTACAAGGGACATCATTGAGGGTCACCCGCACATCTTCTTCAGAGCCCGTGTCCAGGTGGGTGCCGTTGATGGTCAGCATGGTGCCACCAGCCTGGGGCCCCTGCTTTGGCTCCACACTGAGGGGCTGGGGCTGCTGGCAGAGTGACAAGGGCAGTTCGGTCAGGGGCGCAGCCCCTCTTCCCTCCAAGGGAAGACTGTAGGGGTGAGCAACAGGGGTCAGACCCCATCCACGTCTGTCCCAATCTACAAGACCCACCCAGGTCCCTGGCACTAGGCACTTACCTGGTAGGTAAACTGGACGTGGGGTGGTGAGTGGCCAAGCTTCCCATTGATGTCCACCATGACACCCCTCGTGAAGGGTGCCTTGGCACCCCCGATAGTACACACAATCCTGGGTGGGTGATAGGCGTTGGGGGATACTCAGGCCACCTGGCTTGCACACCTGAGGGTGTGAGAGTCCTGGGCACACACATGCCCAGACCACGTCCTTCCTCTCCATCTGCCCAGTCCCCTGCCTCCCAGGGCAAGGACTGATCCAGCCAACGGAGCCCAGGGCATGGGCCATTCACTCACCGGGTAGACACAGAGTACCATTCTGGTTCAAAGGTGCAGTTCTGGTCAGCCACGGTGACCCTCTTGACGTCATCTGCTCTCACCCCCAAATTGGATCCGAATATGGTGACACGAATGCCCCCACCCAGTGGGCCTGTCTCAGGCTGGATCTGGAATTGGCAGAGCCTGGCTGACCCGGTGGCCTGGGCCTGGGGGGACATGGGGAGCCTGGGGCCGGGCTGGAGCCCCTCGCCGCCAGGGAGTGGCAGGCTTACCCTGGTGATGACAGGTGGTGGACACTCAGATGTGGCGTTGCTGCACAGGGCCTCGTACACACACTGGCTCTGCCCACCACACCATACACACTTGTAGGTGGAGTCAGCGGCCAGGCACAGACTGCAGTCGCTGCGGCCAAATGAGCAATTGTAGAGGGTCACTGTGGAAGGAGAAGCCTGTGGTCAGCAGGGCCACCCTGCTCCCCCTGGCTCACCCGGCCCACCTGCCCACCGCACCCACCTTGGAGCTTGCTGTCGATGTTCTTGCCGTAGGACTTGACATACAGGTGCAGGGGCAGTGTCTCGTTGGCATCCTGGGACAGCTTGGGGGACACACAGGGAGAGGCTGTACTCCCAGATCCCACCCAAGCCCCACAGTGGCCCGTGTGGTCCCCTCACAGCCAAGGGGCAGCAGGGGGAGGTTCTCACTGTGGCTGGAAGCTGGAGCCTCAGAGATACAAAGAGTCACTTTGATTCCAGGGACATAGGACAGAGAGTGGCTCCCCGTCTGTCCCACCCCTCAAGCCCCAGGCAGGAGTGACCAGCACGCACCCACTGCCTGCCCCCGGGGCCCAGCAGCCTGTCCTGCTCACCCTGGGAGCCATACCTTCGGGGTGCGAAAGAAGAAGGCTCCTGACTCCTGTGTGCCCACTGACACATCAAACTTGAGCAGGTCGCTGCCCACGTGCAGGGAGGGGCCCTACAAGGCAGCTGGTCAGGGGAACCCGGACAAGCCAGCCCTTCCTGTCCTGCCCTCTCCCTGCCCCACCCCACCATCAGCCAAAATAGGTCGTCCCATCCCAACCAACCCCTCCACCACTCCCAGACACCACGGCCGCCGCCTGAGCACATCACCTGTTCCCTCCTAAGTGGCACCACAGCTGCTCACCCCTCAACACCCTCAGCTCGCTGTCCCTGCTCTCTGCCCACGTCCTCCTGGACCTGCCTCCTGCTGTCCCCGGAGGCATGCTGAGCTAGGCCCTGAGCAGGGAAGCCTGAATGGGGTCGAGGCAGTCCGGCTTGGGTCTGCAGGAGGATGGCCATCGGTATGCCACCAGCCATCGTGACCCTGCTGGGTCCCCAGGCCTGTTTGCACTGATGAGCCCACCCCCCTGCAAGGACCCCACAAGTCACACCCCCACCTTCGCTGTGTCCAGGTTCTTGCCCTGGAAGGTCACGTGTGTTTCATGGTTCATGGGGATGACCAGTGGGCTGGGGTTCAGGAACTGGGGGCAGCTGTCCTCCTGGAGGGAGTAAGGCTGGTCAGTCACCTCCTGGGCACGGCTGAGCTGCCAGGCCCCTGCGGCCCCAGGGCCCCTCACCATGTGGGCACGGACAATCCCATCCTCGGGGTTGGGTGAGGCTTCCCGACACTCATGGTAGCGCAGGTCCCACTGGCATGTCCAGCGGTTGCTTGTGCAGGAGATGCACCTGGCGGAGAGGGTGGTAAGGGGGCCAGTCTACAGCAGGGCCAGGGGGTAGCGGGTGGGACACTCACGGCAGATTCTTCTCCAGGCTCATGGCCTCCCGACAGTCATAGAAGGGGTACAGGTGGGAAGTGAGAAAGACACTGCCACGTCTGAAGAGAAGCTGGATATTCATGGCCACGTGGTCTGCAGATGGCATATGGGGACAGTGTCAGACAGGGCCACAGGGCACAGGGTGAGGCCAGCATAGTGGGGGCTGGGGACAGGCAGGCCCGGAACTGTCTCTTTTAGCCCCAGCTCCTCACCCCAGCATAGCCCCTGACAGGCCACTGAGCATGGAACCAGAGGCCGAATGTGAAAACCCCGGTCTGTAAGGGGTGCCCGGTGGGGCCTGCCCCACTGACTGGCACTGGGGCTCCACCAAGCCTGTGACCAGGTCCTGGCTCAGGTGCTGGCTCCCAGGGTGGAGGTCGAGTTGCTCCCCAGGGCTCCGTTCTGTTTGCCTGCTTTCTATCCCTGCAGGCACCAGGGCCATGGTTCCTCGGTGTCTGGGCAGAGTGCGTGCCCAGTCCTCTGCACGTCACTGCACGACCCCTGCTTTCACCAGTGAGTCATGCAATGCTGACCCCAATGCTCAGGGGACAGAGGCTCAGCATCTGGCCTGACCCACATTCAGGCCCCAGGCTCTGGGAACAGCCCTACCTGTCTCAAGCTGGACAGGGTGGGGAGGGGGAAGGGGCTTCTGCACAGACAACAGAGCCCAGGATCTGGTACCCAGGCGGTTCTGAGTAAACATGAAGGAACAAGATCCACGGAGCAAGGCCTGGGGGTGGGGAACTGTGGACTCTGCATGGCCCCCGCACAAGCCCAGAGGCAGAACTGCTTGGGGCTTCCACCCCAGCCCACACCCGAGGACTGGGCCACAGACAGGAGGGAGAAGTGCCCGCCCAGCCCCGGGGCAGTGGGGCCTCACCCTGGCCGGGTGGCGTGTCAGGAATGTTACTTGGGGAGCTGCAGACGACGGTGTCCCCCTCCACGTGGGCAGGGTGTGGCGGCAGTTCACCGAAGACACACAGCAGCACATCCTCCTCGCCCAGGGCTGGGAGGGGACTGACATTCAGCTGCACCTGCAGAAGGGCTGTGTGGCTCCCACCAGGACCCCCATGCCTGGCCTTGGGGTGTGGTAGGACCAGGCCGGGCTGTGGGTGGGAACCCCTTGCCCACCCTGCCAGCAGCCTTCCTGCTCATGCACAGCCTAATCCCTTGGAAAAGCCTCTGGAACTTGATGATTTCATCTGAAATAAGCCCTTAGGCAGCCACCTCACCAGCTCCTGAGATGAGGCCCGGTCTGCCATGGATACAGAGGAGCCCCCCAAGGTCACAGGGGCTGGGGGACCCAACCCAACAAAGGACACGCTCCTGTCCTCAGGCTCAGCATCCAGGGTCCCAGTGGTCCTGCCCATCCCAACAGCCCCAGGCCAGCAGTCCTGGCCCCCACTACGCACCTCCCCCTGGGCCCGGCGGCTCATGTTCTGTGGCTGGGCCCCAGTGACAGACACACAGGACTTGTTGCGGCTCCACAGCCAGTGGCCACTCTCCTCAGCCCGTGGGCACTCGGCCCTCCTGGTGCATCTGTGAGGAGAGGGCAGTCTTAGCCCTGCCACCTCAGCCCCAGGCTCCCGGGTGGGGCCACACGCCTCCAAGTCCCCGGCGCTCACCGCCCCTCGACGACACACCAGCCGCAGTAGGGGTCCTGTGAGCTGCGACACTGTGCACAGGTCGGGTGGCTCAGGCACTCTTGCGCGGGGAGCCGGAACACCTTGGGGGCAGGTGGCAAGTGGGACCATGGCCACAGCTGCAGGGACCTCCCTCGCACCTCACACTTTCCTGGGGTCACAGGCTTGATCCTACCTTCATCTCTGAGCCCTAAAGCCTCAAACATAAACTCAAGGCTTGCCAGCAAGGGCTCTTGCATGGCCCTGACCCAGTGGTTGGATCTGGCCCAGGATCTGATGGTGGAGGGCCCTAGGGAACCACGGAGGTCCTGGTCATGGCACCTTTCCTGTGCCAGCCCAGGCCCTATGACCCCACTCCCCATGAAAGGCGCTTAGACATCTGGGGTGCTCCTGAGGCTGGCTTGAGGGGCCCTCTCACCAGTCCCCCAATGAGCTGGGAAACCAACCTGTGTCCCCCACTGTCTGAGCTCACAGACGCTGTGTGGGGCCCCTCCCTGGCCGGTCCGCTCTTGGGGAGGCCCACTCGGAGCACTGTCCCATCCTCCCCATCAGGACGGGGCCAAGGCCAGGCAGATACGGGAAGGAAACGCCGCTGGGAGCCCAGGGAGGGGAGGGGCAGCCCCTCTTGTCCCCTCTGCGCCTCTCCGGGTCTCTCACAGAGGTTTGGGCCACTAAGGCCCTGCCTCTCGGCCCCGCAGGCCCACCTTATCCTGAGTCATGGCATACAGAGTGGCCAGGTCTGCAGACAGCACCAGGTCTCGCTGGATTCTCTTGTTGATCTCCACAAGGACAGAGCCATACTCCGTGGAGCTGCCATCCGGAGCCAGGTACACCTGCATGCCAGGGGCGGGCGCATGAGGGCAGGGCCTCACGTAGATGGCCCCAGGGGCTGCCCTGCCCCAGCCCTGGCCTCACCTTGAGGACCCGGCCATCCGAGGTGCCCAGGAAGGCAACAGTGTGGCCATTCTCAGCAGCCACCGTCACAGCGGTCAGATTCAGGCCTCGGCGCTGCAGCACAGCCGTGGCCGTGAGCCCGTCTCGGCTGCCCAGCGGGTAGGGCAGGTGCTCCGAGCCACACGGGAAACTTTCACTGGCGCCCTGCAGACCAGTGTGTCAGCAGCAGACACAGACCCCTGGCCCCAGTGGCCTCTCCCAGCTAGGTCTCCCAACAGGCCCAAAGACAGGGGCCATACTGGTAGGGACCCCACCCACATACTCACTGCTGCATGCCCCCTGTGCCCAGCACCAGTGGTGACCAGAGAGGCAGCGCCCACACATGCAGGTGCTTGTGATGGCCCATGCAGTGATGCTACATGTGGCATCTCCCAGGCCCTTGCAGGTGGGGTGCGGGCACACCAGCAAGCAGCTGTCACAAGCAGACCCACAATGTGTGGGGGAGAACAAGATGAGGCCACATACCAGCCCGTGGCCGCCACACTGGATCTCGCCGTGGAAGGGCTTGTAGAAGGTATCACGGCCCGCCTTCCGGGTGCCTGTGTAGCAGGCGTTGCGGTTGGCCTCCATCTTGGCATGGACCTCGTCCAGTGGGAACAGGCAGAGGCCCGCACGGGGCCCCCCACCGCCCCGGCCATCTCTGCTGAAGACAGCATAGAGGACTCTGCCAGCACCCGGTGTAGCCAAGGAGGCTGCCAGGCAGGTGCTGAAGGGGGGTGCCGGGGCATCACTGGGGTCAAGGCACTGCAGGTCCATCTCCAGGTAGGAGTAGTACAAAGAGTCCTGCTTGCACAGCCGGGCCAGCAGCGTGCGGTTCCGCGGGGGGTGCTTGTCCTGCTGATTGAAGACGAAAAAAACATAGAGGCCATCCTCAAAGGCGGCCACAAACTGCTGCGTATTGGTGGACAGGTAGCCAGCCTTGTACGCAGCATGGTCCGTAGAGGCCTCAAAGGCCTCCCTGCCGGCGATGCGGTCCAGGAGACGCGTGCTCACGATGATGCCGTTGTCATGCGGCCCGTTGCCCTTGCCCACGAACAGCATGCGCTCACCGCCGGGGCCTGCGGCGCTCACCAGCCCCACTGTGGCCACACTCTCGTCGTTGCTGGCCACAAAGGACTTCTCGCCGCTGCTGTCCTCATAGAAGAGGCGTGTGGAGATGTTGCTCAGGGCCCGCAGGGCGCAGATGCCCTTGAAGAGACTACCACATTCAACAAGGCGGTTCCTGGGGGGGTCGAGTAACAGCAGCTGGTTGACGTTGTTGGTTAGCGTGGCCTCGTGGCACTGGCTCGCCTCAATGGGCGGTGTACACTTCTTGTTGTCCAGGGCCGGACCCGTGGCCACCTGCTGCTCCAGCTGCAGGTCAGCACCCAGTTGGTAAAGCGCGTTGACTGCCCCCAGGTAAACCACACCCGTGGCCTCATCCACAACCAGGTGGTTCAGCTCTGTCTCGCTGCGGAAGAAGCCCAGCTTGCGGGGCCGCAGGCCCACACTTGTGCTCACCAGGCCCAGGAGCGTCAGGGCCCAGAGCTGCAGCGCCATCGCCCCTGGCACCCTGTGGGAAGAGACAGGCGTCAAGGTATCCCCAGCCTGGGGGACCCACCCACCTGCAGGAAGCCCCCCACCCCTTCAGGGCCTCTCCAGATCCCCTATTCCAGACCCCCTCTGAACAACCAGAACAGAGGCCAGGAGAGTTGTGGCTGTCCAGCGGGCCCTGGGAACACCTTGTCCCTTCCCTGCCTTCCTGCACAGCTGGCCAGACACAGCCACTCTCATCTCCAAGGAGACCACTTCCTTGCCCTCCTCAAGAATATCAGCCTAATATAACCTATGACCAGGACCAGGCCACCACGATTGCCCACTACAGGCATGGAGGAGTGTGCCCTGGCCTCCACCTCCAGGTTCCCAAAGCACCCGCAGCTCCCAGACAGGGGAGCATTTCCTCCAGAAAGCCTCCCCAACTCATGCACACGCTCACCCCCAGACCCCAGGAACTCCAGGTGATCGGGCAGCACCATCCCCAGACCCCAAGCCCCAGCACACAGGCCCAGGCTGACCAACAGGCCCTGGACGCACAAACTGGTGAGCCACACGCTTGTTCTACATCTGACTCTTACTCAGCACACGGTACAATCAGAGAGGAAACTGAAGCTATAAAGGGGCTGCAGCCAACTGTGGGGCCGTGGAAGCCCAGGCTATTTATATCTGCCCACCAGAGCTGCTCACGCTGCAGCGGGGCCTGTGTTCATCCACCTCTCCCAGAGAGGAGCCAACAATCCACAAGCCCTGCCTGTGCCCTCCCCAGGGCAGACCCTCCGGCACAGGCACACAGGAGGCAGGACCCTGGACCCTGGAGGAGGTCCCGAATCCACAAGGTGTCTGAGGAGAGACCCCAGGGTCTGTGGTGGGCGCAAGCCTGCAGAGCAGGGGCAGCTCACACTGGTGTGCACATCTGTCTGAACACATGTCCCTGCATATATGCAGGTCCATCTGTCTGCTCATGTGTATGAGGGATGAGTGCTAAGGGTCCCCAAATTGGAGGGACCCAAGGCCTTACAAGTGGACCTGGAACACGAGTGGTTCTCCCTCTCGACTCCAGGATCTCAGGCAAATTCAGGCAGGGCCATTCTGCCTCGAGGCCTCTCCCAACCTTAGGGTAGCCCCAGACCCCCTGGCCCTTGGGTCCCTGCTCTGTCCTGGTCAGAAGCCCCTACACCAGCCTCCACCATCACCCCGATGGGCTGCCCTCCCCCAGTATGTGCATCAGCCCTCATCCTGGGACCCACGGTCTTCCCTGAAGGTATGACATCTTGGATGCCCAGTCCATGCCACGTGCCACAGTGGAGCCAGACCCAGAGGGCAGGGCACTGACACAGGCCAGGGCCCTGGTCTCACGTCTCCCACACACCCAGCCTGCACTTCCAGAGGGGCTGGTCCGCCCTGGGGCCACCTGAAGCACCACCTCCAGGGATGTGCTTGCCCTACACCCATCTGCACCAGGAGGGCAGGAAGGAGCCTGCTCTGCTCCACGGCCAGGAGCTGGTTCTTTGCGGTACTGGCTTTGGGCAACGCTGTTTACTGGAATGCACGGGCCTTCCCTCACGCACCCGTGACTCTCACACCAAGCTGGCAACCTCCTTTGCCTGGACCACTACGAAGCCCCTGGCCATACTGCGGCTGTTCTCCACACCCCCTGCACCCCTCTGTTCTGAGTCTCCACAACCTTCCTCGAAGCCCCTGAGGAAGTGTAACCAAGAAGCAACCAGATGCAAAGCCACCTTGACCCCGAATCACCGCGAGACGCCCCTGCCTCTGCACAGCGCCATCCTGCGCGAAGGACCCCACATGCCCTCCTTCCTAGCCAGCCACCCACAGGCTGCCTGGAGAGCGTCCAGGTAGAGGACAGCAAGCACCTGGGGCGATGCCACTGGCTGCCTGGGGCAGAAGGCTGGTTGGTATCAGGAGAGTGGAAGGCGGCCCAGAGGAGGGGCGAAGGAGGGGCCAGGGCGACCCAGGCCTCCCCAGTGTGGGGGCGATGAGGCTGGGGAGGGCTGCAGGCAGAGGCGGGAAGATGTCACAAGCCCCTCAGGCCCTCGCTGCAAGAAGGGCAGATCCTGGGGGAGGGGTTCCTACCCCGCAGACGCCCCTCCCATTTCAGCTGCCTATCTGGGGGAGCGGTGGACGCAGTCCCGGAGATGCCCCGACCTGGTGCAGGACGCCCGCGGCTCCAGGGCTCCGCTCAGAAGCCGGTGCACCGGGAGAGGCCCAGGCCGGGCACCCGAGGGGGGCCCTCGCGGCGCCCCACCCCTCCCCCGCCCGGCCCGGGGCCCTGCACCTCCCCCGCAAGGGCGCGTCCGGCCCAAAGTCCGCGCGGCGGCGCCGGCGGGGCGGGATCTCCCCGGCTCCGCCGCCTCGCGCCCCGGCTCGTCCTCCCGGCCCGGACCCGCTCACCCGGGCCCCCGCGTCGCCGCCGCGCCCCCGGCCCTGCTGGGCACCGGATCCGGCTGCGGCTCCGGCCGCGGCGAGCAGGGAATGAATGGAATGTTCCCGGGGCCGAGGGAGGGGGCGCGGGCGGCGGGGGCGGGGCGGGGCGGCGGGGGCGGGGCCGCCCCTGGAGCGGTCGGATCTGCCGGCCCGACTGCTGGCGGCCAAGTCTAGAACCCAGAGCAGACCTCCCTTCCCTGGGCCCAGCTAACTCGCAGCACGGCTCTGGGGGTCACAGCGCAGAAGAATGCTCTGGGCTGCCGCCTCTGGTTAGGGCTGGAACCCCTTAAGTGCTCACTGAATGCTGTGTGGAGTTCGAGGAGAGCTGGCCTAGATAACCAAGCTGCTTCCCTACCCACCTGGGAGCCCAAGTCAGGCTCAGACCCTGGCTCCCTGCCCCAGGGCTCCTCTGAGTGGTGGCAGAGTGAGGCTCAAATCCAGGGCTCCATAGGGCCCCCTTGCCAAGACCAGGCCATCCAGGGTGGCAGAAGGGGCTGGGTCACACCTCTCAGGCAGCAGCTCCCCTCCACCTCCTGGACAAACAAAGCCTTTGGGGACCTGCATGGCCAGGGCCAGGAGCGCAGGCTGACCCACCTGCGCCAAAACTCAGGCCAGCCGCTCCGGAGGCCAGCCGCTCCGGAGGCGCCAGACACACAGAGCAAAGCCTCCTGCCGCTGGTGTTCCTGGAACGGGCGCTTCCTGTTTTGCAGGCAGCCTAGGGACCCCTGGCTCACCAGGGCCACGGGGATTTCCTCAAAGGCATCAAGGCGGCCTTCTTCCTGGCTGAAGTCCGGAGGTGCACTTCCAAAAACCTGTACAAACTCTGGCCTGTAGCTGGCCTGGAAATTGTCTGGGTAGGCACCCCTCCCCGCAAGCCCCAATTTCCAAACCTAGTGTTCCAGAACCTAACACTCCAGGCACCCCCACCCCCACTCCAATCAACCCACCCCTGCCAAACAAAGTCTGGCCTCAGAGCACTGTCGGGGGCCTGGTGGCCTCCATGCGCAGGGCACAGCTGGCCCAGAGCCTCAGGATACCACATGCAGTCAGCGGCAGACACCTCTAGTCCCAGTGTGTGTGTGGCTGTAGCCCCCCACCGCCTTCCCCACGGAGGGCCCAGCCCCAACTCACCAAGGCTCCAGCAGTCCAGCTCAGTCTCTGATCTGGGCCAGCATCAAGATTCTCTGGGAAGCAAACGAGACACAGTGGCCTCACTACAAGTCTGGCCCTCCCTCCACCTGTCTCCTCTGCTCCATTTTCTTGGGGGTGGAGGCTGGGGGAGAGCTTGTGGGACCCCATCTGGCCTCTGCCTCTTCTCCTCTGCCCTCAGCACAGCCCCTTCTCTAGCCACTGGCCTCCAAGCCCTTTAGCCCAGCACCCTAGTGCATACACATCCACTTGGTCTTCCCATAATACAAGCCTGACATGTCCCTCTTTCCTCTGCTCAAAAAAAGCTGACAAAAAAGTCTCCTTTCCATTGTAAGTCTATTGGTACTACCCACCTTTTTAAACTACTATGACTAAAATAAAAAGTGCTCTCTGAAAAATGTATATACCCATGACCCCGCAGTTCTTAATAGCTGTGTGAACTTGGGCAAGTTACTTAACTTCTCTGTGCCTCATTTCCCCATCTGTGAAATGGAGACAGTCATAGTGAGCTCCCCCAGGGGTTTGTTAAGAGCTGAATGACTCCTTCATGAAAAGCCTCAGGGGAGCCTGTAACACTGTAGCACACTGCAATGCTTGCTATTATATCCTTGATCCTGGATAAACGTCCACGTATACTCACAGGGAGAGCCCAGCCAACGATACTTCTCAGCAGTGGTTTATCATGGTGAAAAGGACTGGCAACCACCCAGCACCCAGTCAGAGGGCCAGTGCAGGTGGGTGCTGTGTGGCGACCCCAGGGAGCCAAGACCTAGCAGGAATACCTGTGGCACAGGCCCCTGTGTATCTCCATGGCGGTGTGTGCATGGACACACCAAGTTTACCTGCTGAATTCTAGGAACTGCACCCAAACTGAAAATGGTGGTGGAGGCTGGGGGCAGGGAGGAAGAGGCTGGAACAGCAAAGTACCTTCATTTGCCAATTTTTAGAAGTTTTTTTATACGAATATATTCATGTATTACCTGTCTAAAAAAGAAGTGTCTGTGGTAATAAGGATTGCCTCCCCCAACCATTCCTACCCCAGCTCCGCCCCCGCACCCAAGGTTCAGCCACTGAGCCCTGCTCCCAGGTTGGCTATCCGCCCTAGCACTGTGCCCCCAGTACCCCCCTTACAGGATCAAACCCTCCCCTCCACGGGGTGCTCCACCTGCCCTGTGCAGCATACTCCCCCAATAAGGTCACCACCTGCGTGTGTCCCTAGAGAGCGGGACCCTAGGCTGGGCCCTCTACAGGTCCAAGGGTGACAAGTAGGGCACGGAGGGCAGCCCTTCCCTCTAGCACCCCGAGCTTCTGGCTGAGCAGGGAAGGGCTAACCTGGGCCAGGGGCTCAAGGTGTGGCCAGTATGAAGGGTGTCTGGTGGCCTGCCCTAGGCACTCAAGGCAGCCTTTGTGAAAGGCACAAGGCCACTCCGTAGTCCAAGTGGGGCCGAACCACAGGGCATCAGGATGATGCAGCCTCATGACAAAGGGGGGAATGGCATGGCTGGACGCTGCACTCACGGGGCCCACAGAGGCACAGTGCATGCAGACCTCACCCCCTGAAGAGACAGCCTCCAGCCCCTGGACTTCTCCCCGTACCACGTCCCCAAGTCCCCAGGCCTCCATGGGTCCAGGCCCCAGGGGAGGGGGGGCGGGGAGCGACCGTGTGTGTCTGCTGCAGGCACAGCCAAGGGAGGCTGGCCTCTTCCTGAGCCCACACATGCCCATCTACCCAGCCCCACAGCACACATACACCTCAAGAAACTTGCCCCAAGTGGCCCACTGACCAGGCTGGGCCCACCTCTCAGCCTCCCAGAGGCAGCGCGTGGATTCTCTTCCCAAGCCCCCCCAACCAGTCCTTCCTGCAGAACAAATCTGGGACCCATCCCCTTTCTCAGCCACTCAGTCCTGCCTCCAATTTCTCCCACCTGGGCCACGCCATTTCCAACAGCCAAGCTTTATCATCTGCTGTCAGGTGGGTCACTTCCACAACCCTCAGAAGGCCACTCTCATGAGTGGCCCAGGCCACTGAGGCCTCAGGTGGCCCCCCATCCCAGTTTCACGCAGGCAACGATACTGCTCATGGGCAGAATCTAGACCCAGACTACCAGGTTCAAGTCCTAGTTCTGTCACTTTCCACCTGGGTTACGTGGGCTATTTTCAAAGCTATGCTATGCCTCAGTTTCCCCATGTTACACCTGGGGATGATAGCAGCATGGACCTCAGGGGCCTGCAACGAGGTGTGGAAATCCGTACTCCGTGCCTGCAGTGGAGGGGTTACTCTGGATAACATCACGTTACCATGTCTCTGCTTCTGCTGTTCCCCCGACCCCGGGAAACTACCCATCCCTCAGCACCCTGAGACACCCATCCTGACCTGGCCTTGCAGGGCTGTCACCCATGCAGGGCTGTAGTCTTCACTGATGGGCCCACCATGAACAAAGGGTCTGGCCAGGTGGTTATTTGTGGGCCTGAGCCCAGTGAACCGGAAAGGGGTGACCCACAGAGGAGGGATCAAGGAGCTCCCTGCGGCGGGTGCCCAAGCCTTCCGCACAGTGGTGCCGGGTGCCGACAGGCCTCTCTCCTCCACAACCCAGGTGGGGCAGGAAGGACCCCTTGCCGGTTGGGTTTCCTGTAGCTTTCCTCCTTAGATGTCACCTTTTTCTAACCAGCAGGCACCAGGCTCTTAGTACAGGTGGTTCTGGCCCCCCTCCAGGAAAAGGTAAACTGGAGGCGCCTAAAGAGGAGGGGCAAAGCCCTCCCTCCAGACCAGGCCCAAGGACTGGAGGCTCAGTTTCTGCCTCTGTAGGTCTCGGGCTTCACTTGGGAAAAGCCTCGGGTGTGTGGGCTGGAATCGGAGGTTCTTTCCATGTCACTATTTTCAGTCAACTGCAGATTAATTTCTTTAAGACAAAATAAAAACAATGCAAAGCATCCAGGCCCAGTGCTGGACAGGTCCACCTCCAGCTGCCCTGGGTTAGGCCAGCAAGTGTGTGAGCTCAGGAAGTGAACCCAGAGAAGGGGCTGGGACTGGACAGGGGTACAGAAGTGCCCAGGGACCAAGATGCAGATTCAGGCACAGGCAGACCCGGAGAACGGATGATTCAGGCCAAGGCCAAGGCCCATGTGTAAACAGGCTCAGATGGGGTCAGATACAATCGCCATCAGACAATGGGGCGGAGGGTCCCAGCACCGTGTGTAGGGCACTAGGGACCCTCAATGCGAGTCGGGGAACAAACCCCTGCCTGAGATGGTGAGGGGCGACTGAAGGTAACTGTCCTCGCCTCGGCCAGGAAGGAGCCATGGGAGAAGCCGAGGAGCGGCCCCTCCACCGCGGGGCAGCTGGCAGCTGGCAGCCAGGGGACCCAGGCTCCGCTCTCCAGACGAAAATGCAAATCTGCAATTAGCAGGGAGCGCTAAACAAACTGGAGAAGACAAAACAGGCCGGGAGCCGTCGAAGCCGGGTCTCCGCGGTTTTCAAAACAAGTGCGAGGGAGGGACGCCAATGGGGGCTACCTGCCTGGGCAGCGTCGGCGCCGCACGCGCCCACCCCGCCCGCTCGGTGGCCCGGGCCTGCGCGCCACCGAGAAGCGGGGACGGTCCCCTGGCACCCGGGGACGGCAACCGCTGGCGGGGACAGACAGGCCCAGGTGCACAGCCCCCCCCACCCCCCCGCGCGCCGTGCCAGCCTCCCCGGAGCTTGCGGGCGGTCACCAGGGAAGCGGGCCGGGTGCCGGGCGGGGCCTCCTTGGGCACCGCCCCGCCCCGGCGCACACACCCGGAGGGGAGGAGTGGGCGCCGCGCGCCTAGCGCCAGGACCCCGGGTAACAATAAATGCAGCTGCGGTCACGTGGGCACAGGGACCCTTCCCCGCTGAGCGCTCACCTGGGTCAGGCTCCGTGCAGCGCGCGACTGGCCTTAGTCCTCTGGCCTGGAAGGGGCGCGATAGGCAGCTCCGCCCCGGCCCAGGGTCAGTCCCAGGGCTCGGCCCCCCGCTTGTCTGCCGGCCAATCACGCGCGATCTTAGCCCCAGTAGCCGCCTGCAGGACCCCCCGACCCGGGGCTGGGTCTGCGGACACTCGGGGCGAAGGGCGAAAGCCCAGCTCTTCCCGCACCACCAGCCAGGAGTAGGGGTGGGGCGGGGCGGGGCTCCAGGGACAGACTGACGTCAGTGCCAGAAAGCCTCCCACAGGACCCCTCCCAGGTAAAGTGTCGCCACCCATTTCCCACCAGCCCTGGCTCCTGGGGCAGGATCCTCCTTCCACCAGCCTGCACTGCTGGGGAGACTGCCCATCCTCAGCCTGGGTTAGGGGGACTGGTCAGCCTCCCCTTGCAGTCTGGGCTCTGGGTTCCAGCATGAAAAATGACCTCTGGCTGGTGGCAAAGAGAAGGTCACAGGTCCAAGACCCAAGGCCAAGGACATTGTGCCCAGAGAAATCCCAGCTCCGCCTGAATCCCATCACTGTCCGCCCTCCCAGTCTGGGTCACTCCCCCAGCTCACAGTGCCTCCAGGACACCTTTCACCTCCGAGGCCTGAGGTCACAGCCACCAGGGCATCTGCCTGTAGTCCTTGCCCTTTGGCATCTGGAGCTTGCTTGGTAAGGCCAGGGGCTGGTGCCCCAGCTCCTTCCATCCTTGTGACAACTGTAGCCTCTGTATTTTATGGGTGCTGACCTAGACCAGGGTTCCCACATGCTGGTAACTGGGCCCTGCTGCTGCCTAACCTCATGGCTAGGTGGCTTTGAAAAACCTGAGAACATGGTTTCAATAAATTACTGTTTTTCAGGAAGAATGGCAGGCCCTGCCTGGAGCCCCCAGCCCCAGCCCCAGCCCCAGCCCCTGCTCTTCCTTGGCCTCCTGGGAGAAGAGGGAAGAGGCCAGATTTGGGCTGGGGCCGGGTGAGGCGGGCTCTGCAGGGCACCTGAAACACAGATGAGGCCTCCTGCCCCTGCCAAGGCAAAAGGACAGTTCTGACAACTGCCCAGCCCCAGAAAGGACTTCTGGGAGAGTAGCTGAGTCCCCTGCCCCACATCCAAGCTGGGAGAGGCTGGGGGCATTCCTATGGGCATTTCAGGGCATAAGGGCAGGCATGTCCACCAGTCCTGATGTTTGCCTTCCTGTTGTCCCACCCCACCTCTGAGCTGCCTCCACTCATGTCCCCTCTGCAGCCTCACCTCCACAGCTGGCTGGACACTGCTGGCCAGGGAAGCCTGAGGCTCAGGGCGGCTGCAGCTGTTCCAGGACCAGCCCCCACCCACAGCCCCCTTCCTGGCCTGAGGGCAGGAGGCGGGGAGGTGGAGTGGGGGGTGGGCGTGCAGGCTGACTACGGTTGAGGGCCCAAGCCAGTGAGCAGACAGCAAGGCCTGTAATTTTGCCATCAGTCTGTCAGTGCCTCAGCGGTCACCCCAGCCCCGCCTCCTCCATCACAGCAGAACTCCATCATTAGCATGGGGCACTGTGCCAAGCTGGCATGCCAATTACCATTCTCAAACATGTGACCACACATGTGCAGGCACACATGCCTGTGATGCACATGGGGGATTCTGCCCCGATGCTCAGGAGTGTCCCCTGTACAGAGAGCTCATGGGAAGTACTTCAGTCCCTGGCACTTAGGCTGTGGGTGCAAGGAGTCTGCCAGTCCCAGCACTAGCTCAGCCTAGGATGCCCAGAGGCCTGGAAGAGCTGGCAGGCCTCAGGGGAGGGAACATGTGTGGGAAAGGTGGGGGCAAGACCACCTTCACAGAGGGAACAGTGAGACACTGCGGGAACAGCCCCGGGTGGCTTTGCAAGGCCCCTGTCCAAGCAGGGTTGGGGTGCTAGCAAGGTCATGGTGCTTGGGGTGTGGCCAGGGTCTGAAGGCCAGGCTACAAGTGGGGCAGTGGGGGTAGGAGCAAGCACTTGAGAGTTTGGGGAGGGCAGAGGAACCCGGGATTCCCACTGTGGAGATGCCTCGGCTCGGACTGAGGCGGTGGCGAGCAGAACATGGTTCCAGGTGACCAGGACTACATGGTGGGGACAGGTGGGCACCGGCCTCCCTGCCGTTTCCAGGAAGGAGCCCCAGAGCCAGGCCCGGTGCCTTCCTCCCGACGCTCGCTCGGTCTGGCGGGAAGCGGCCGCCCAGGGGTCAGGCCAGGGGCCTCCTCCAGGAAGCCCGGCTGGGCCTGGAAGACAGGCCTGCCCGAGTCTCCCTCTTCTTCCTTCTTGTCTTCCCATCCCCCACCCTGACACACTTCCTGGGTCCTTGTGGTGGCCCCTAAGTCGGGACATCTCCGAGGCACGGGAGGGGGGCCACATTGCGGCCCCGCCCTCCCACTGCCCGCCCTCAGCGCTGCCAGCTCTGCCAGGCCGACTCTGCAGGTCTCTCCTACTTTCTGGGAAGGAGACAGTGGCCACCACCTTCCCTGCAGAGGCCAGCGGGCTCACCCCAGCAGTGTCCTGGGCCCTGGCGCTCCCCCAGAGCAGACCCCAGCTCTGAAAACACCTTTGGGGCTGGGGAGAGGGCTGAAACCCACATTCGGCCCAGAGCCCCTGCCTCCTGTTGGTGCTGGCACCTACCTCTCCATAGCTGGGCCTCCACAATGCCCAGACCACCCCCATCCTGCCAAGCTGCCCACGGCCTCTGGACCACATGGGCCTCAGGGCCTCAGGCCCCCTTTTGCCCCCAAGGCAGATCCACACTCCCCAGCCCACAAGGCTGCTCCCAGGCCCCTGCCCAGCACCGGGTGGGCACAAGCCCATCACCTTTTCCCACTGTCACCCATAGACACCACAGTGCCTGCCTCTGAGGGCCCTTGGCACTATACAGCCTTTGGTAGCCAGCTTGCAGCCCAGCAGGGTGCCCCAAGGGGAGCCAGTGGCATCCCCCAGCAAGGCCCCAATCCAGCCTGCACAGACCAGAGCAAAAGGCCAGCTGGGAAGAGAGCCGAGGCCCTACACAGGGCCAGCCGGCCGGAACCATCCCAGCCTCAGGAGCAGACAGCCCTGCCCAGCCACTGTGTTGACACAGGTGGCCTCCTGAAAGACTGACATCAAACCCTTTTCCTCTTTCTTGCTCTTCCTGAGGAGGGGGCCCAACCGAAGCAACATCAGACACAGAGATCTGAGCTTGCCACCATGCATGCCTCTCTCGCACAGAGCCCCCCATAGGAACTGCGATCCCAGGGATCTGGTGTCCACACCCAAACGTGACACACCCAGGGCAGGGCCAATGGCAATGCTGGGTTCAGAACCCAGGCTACACCCAAAAGAACTCCCTTCCCTCCCCATGGCCCCCAGACCAGGACCCACCTGGCACCAGGATGCGGAGGTGCCAGGTTTCAGAAGTCTTGCAACTTAGAGGCTGAAGACAAGGGTGTGGGCACCAAGCTGGACCCTGTCCCTGGACATCTCTGATTCTAGCGCAGGGTGAGCCCTTCCCCCACCCAGTGCCCTGGGATACAAGGCACTCAGAGGGGCCAGCTGGCCCTTCAAATGCTGCCCAAGGCAATGGAAGGGGCCAGAGGGCCTCTGTGCCCCAGCCTGGCTCAGGATGTGCTAGGACAAGCTGGACACCGGGGTCTTCATACCCTCAGGGGCAGAGACAAGCAGGAGCCCTTAAGGGGATGTGAAACCGTGGAGAGGAAGAACGGAGAGAACCACATGCGGTCTGGAGAGAAAAGGGAAGCCCTGGTACTGCTTCCTCTCTTGAGCACCCCACGGCCCCCAACCCCACCCGTGAAGGACAGGCCATTGACCACCCCTCCCAGCCTACTATAATTTGAGACCAGAGGCCACCCCCCTATAGCACCACCCCAAACACAAACAGCCTTTTAGGCTCTAGGGGAGGGATCCTCCCCCACCCCCAGAACCTGCATCCACCTCAGGAAGGGAGGTCAAGGCCAAGACCACCATAGCCCCCTTCAGCTGGCCAAACCTGGGCTTGTTCTCTGGCAGGCCTGTCAGCTCACCTTCTCCCCTGCTGGGCCCCAGCTCTACGGGCACCGTGTCCAAGGCAGGCTCCAGACATGCGAGGCTCCTTGAACAGGAGGCTCCTCAAGAGGGAAGGGAAGCTATCCCCGCACCTACGAGGCCAGGGCAGGAGGGTGGGAGCCTGGTGCTGCGGCAGGACATGGTAAGAACTTCCTGCTCACAGGGCGCCAGCTCTTGATGACAGAGGGCCTGGCACCTCAGTGTGGCTCTGCCCAGATCAGAGATGGGATCACAGGGGTGAGTGGACCACACTGCCTCGCCCCACCAGCACCCCCCCTGCCCACGCCCAGCATCCCAGGGGGATCATTAGCTCTGGCCCCCAGATGAGAGTGAAAGCAAGGAGGACACTGGGATGTTCCCAGAACAGCCTAGGTTCTGGGACAGCTCAGGTGCCTGGAGCAGAGCCCCCCTCGCGGGTAAGCATATGCCATATGGACCCCTCCCCATGCTGCCAGCACCTGGTGCCGTCCAATTGGATCTCTTCTGCTCCACTCCCCTGGACTGGGGCCAGGCCCCTGGACGTCCCGCACTCCACCCCAGCTGCCAGCTCTGCACCCACAGCCCTGGCCCCCACAGACCCGGGGAGCCCACGTGGCAGAGGTAATGTCCCACATGACTCCCCACAGGGCTTGATCCACGGCCTGGGTTTCTTCACCTGTGGCACCCCTCACCTGCTGGACCTTTTGCCTGTTGGACAGGCTGACAGGCACCACATCCAAGTGGGGAGACAGTGTAGGGGGCGGGTGCTGCAGGGTGGGCTGTCAGGGGGCTTGGAGGGAGGCTGTGCACCAGTGGTCGGTGGGTCAGTCCGGGCAGGAGGCTCGGTGGGAGGGAGACCCCGGTGCCCCACCCCAAGCAGTCTGAGTCACACCCCTACTTGCTTCCTGTGTGAGTAAGCCATCCAAGGTGTGTCCCTGAAACTGGTTCTGGAAGGTGGCCTCAGAAGGCCTCCAGGCCCTGGTGCCAAGGCCTCTGGGACCCTAGGGGGTCCCCAGCGGGGCTCTCCCGAAGGACCAAAGGATGGGTCCAGGGCTCCTCCAGCCCTGGGCCTCCCCCAGGGGCCTGGGAACACTTCAGGCGCGCTCCCCGGGGCCTGCTGGGGCAATCTCGGCCTCTCCAACCCCAGTGAGCAGCG